GCACCTGCAAGAATATCACAGTAGCTGCAAGGGTACACAAGGTATGACTATGTATTTTTCGAATTCCTGCAATGCTAATTCCATTGTACAGGTCGTGCGGCATACTTTACATAAAAATCAGAGCAATGCTTTATTATGCTCAGGGTCAGCCCAAAACCCAGGCAGCGAGAGACATATCACAGAATGGAAACCTGCAGTTGCTAACACCGTGTATGACCTGCAAGCGGCAGCGCTCTAGGACCGAGTCTTATCTCCATTGCGAGCTAATTACTCATGCGACTTCATCAAATATTGTCTGAGTGTCAGCGAACCCCGCCAAGCCGCTGCTTCTCAGATATCTCGAAATGCTCAAGAGTGACTTTGCCAAGGTAATACAGAACGCCGCTTATACAGACACAACAGAGGATGATGAATTTGTAAACTCTACGAATGGTATTTAAATTTAAACCTCCACCTCCATGCAGGTGAACTCTTTCGAGTAAAGCAGATGCGCCCTGAGCCGTGACTAAGCCCAGTCAAAGAATACCTACTACAAGACTGTAGGGCTCCCCGTCAACCTGTTGGGCAATATGACTAACTGGCAGGTACGTCAGTGTTTTGGGGGGCTCCGTGTTCACTCAAGCTAATGGCTCAAGTGTTCTCCTTACCAGCGAACCGGACTGGACGAATGCAAAGTTACACTGTGACACGAAGTACCCCCGCAACTGTACATGTGTCCGAGACCTTAACCATGTAGTAACATATACTGTTTATATCGTACAAGTGAGGATTATTGACTACAATGTCTTCCGGGTCATAGTACCCGTCAATATCATTTACTACCTCCTCACATGAGACGATAGGCATTTAGCCTATCTGGTACGACCCGGCACATGGAATAGGCACATCATGTTGATCATATTTTGCATGGTGGAAGCGTTAGGCTAACTTGAACATCCGACGGCAATCAATACTCTCGTACTCGTCCCGGCGGCCCGTCGCTGTTCGCTTTAACTTTCTTCACTTTGAATTAAGGATGTTCTATTCATCTGTCAACTCTTCATGCATTCGAGTCCTGCGCTCAACCCTCAAGACAACCCTCAAGTCCTTCTCCACATTACAGCCCACACTAAGCACCACCAGCTCAATCAATCCCAACTTCGTAAAGATAGTCGAAGTTGGGCCTCGTGATGGTCTCCAGAATGAGCCTAAGCCAATTCCACCTCCCATCAAAGCAGAGCTCATCAATCGACTCGCTATCGCAGGGATGCGCAATATCGAAGCCGGCAGCTTCGTGAGCCCAAAATGGGTACCTCAGGCACGTCTACACTCTCCAACAACACTTCAACACTCGTGCTAATATGCGAGCATGGCACACAGATGGCAGGTACGGCAGAGGTCCTGGCTCTCATAGACAGTTTCCCGAAAACAGGTTACTCGGTACTCGTCCCAAATCAGAAGGGGTTACACAACCTCCTAGAGATGCTCTCTACTAGCACTTCTCCAAACTCACACGCAAAGCCCCCACCTCCAGTCACCGAAGTCGCGATCTTTACCTCTGCGACAGACGGGTTCTCTCTTGCGAATACCAACGTCTCTGTTTCAGGCTCTCTTGAACGTCTCGCGCCAGTTGCACGCAGAGCTCTTGATGCTGGGTTGAAGGTGCGAGGGTATGTTTCAGTAGTCGTCACATGTCCCTTTTCTGGACGCGTGGATCCGAGGAGGGTTAGGGATGTTTCGAGGGAGCTCGTACAGATGGGGTGCTACGAGGTGAGCTTGGGAGATACGACAGGTGCAGGGACGCCTGCCAGCATCCTCGGGATGCTTGAGGAAGTTGCAAAAGAAGTAGACATAGGGATCCTTGCTGGACATGTAAGATTCACTCGCTCGTATCTTATCTTATGGTTGAGTCAGTGTTCTTTTGGACTGTGTAGTTTCATGATACAAATGGCACAGCGACTGCCAATATTATGACTGCTCTTGACTTTGGGTTGCGGACATTTGATGCGTCCGTTGGTGGCCTTGGAGGGTGTCCGTATAGTCCTGGCGCCACGGGTAATGTTGCTACGGAGGATGTTGTCTATGCTCTTACTGGAGATAGGTTATTCGGCGATATTAGTGAACCATACGGTGAAGCCCATCTCTCTATGTTTTCCTTGTAAGCTGATTATCTAATATATATGGTAGGCAATCATGGCGAGCCCGCCAAGGCGGTGCAAAGTCGATGGGATGTAGGTCCCGTTGACCTAGTTCGATTGGCAGAAATCGGGGAGTGGATTTCCAGGGTACTTGGGCGAGAGACTACGAGTCGTGCTGGCAAAGCCCTATTGGCGAGACGGAAGAGAGAAGAGGATCGCAAACGAAAGGAAGGAGCAAAGTTGTGACATTACGACGTTTCCCCCTTCGCGAGGTAAGCTGACGTCTGCTCGACTCGGACGTGAATTTATCATGCTTGAAGAAACAGTTTTTTGCATCATGCTCTATGACACTATCTTCAAATTAAATAAGTACTCGGGGTATCACGACTCATCAGATGTCCTGTCCTGAAGAAATATGATTTTAGAAGCATCCATGCGCGTGTGCTTCGCGTGCGGGCAATCTACACTCTTGCACTCTCACTCAGGTTTCGAGCTGAACTCCTTTCCAGCCTCAACATCTTCCAGAGGAAGACGATCGTACCTGCCTGCATCCTTGGAAGTTTGCTGAGATTCGACGTGTTTCACCCACGTGTAGTAAATGGACCCTAGAAGAATGATTGCAATAGAGGATGCACGGCCGCTGTAGTAAGAAAATGTTAATCACAAGAATTTTGACAGTCACATGACACCTTAAAGGCGGAAGACACGCACCTTGAGATGATCTCTGCAAATAACCACATTCCTAACATGGATGCTGCTACGCCTCTTACTGCGGAGGACACCATGTGTGTGATGGGCGAAGTAACTTTGATGGACAGCAGACTAGCGAGGCTCATCATAAAGCCAAGCGCACCCTAATGATGCATCAGTCAGCGATAGCGTAAATCGCCAAAGCGGGTGTGAATACCCACCGTGATAAAGGAGCCCCAAACGAACGTCTGCAAGTCGCTCAGCTCTCCTTCCTTAGGGACAACACCTGCTCCGAAAAACAAATCCGCAATGGCCGGGACCTCACCGGCAAATACAATGATAGGCATCATCACAGCCGCACTAAGCAAATTCGTATACCACGACAGATTCATGGCGCTACCCTTGACTATATCCAGACTCCTTTTGATGACCACGCTGTGCACTGCTGTGATTGCGGAACTTGCAACGCCGAAGCCAATACCAACGAGAGCCATGGGGACAGAATCGAGAAAGACACCAACAAAGAAGCCGAGGGTAACAATGGAACAACTAAATAGAATGCGGAGGGACGGCCGTGCGGAGAGGAAGAAGTAAGAGGTAAGGACTGTGAAGGGGAGGACGAGACCACGCGCGACTTGGTAGACAGATGCGTCGACATACTTGAGGGTATAGTTGCTGAAGCTGGTAGCAAGACGAACGAATCAATGTCAAAACCTGGTGTCGTTGATTCATGGGAGAGTCATACCTCAATCCAATAACATTCAACGCAATGTTGGGGGCGAGCTGGATCAAAAGCTGGGTGTCTACATATAAAGGCACAACTAAGAGGCGGGTTGCATGTGCGGCAATGAAAAGAATGACGGCAATGACAAGCTGGGTAAAGAGGAAGAAGAGCGGGGCAGCGGTCGTTTTGAGAACCCATTTATTCCTGTATTTCGAAAGGAATGAGGTTGGTAAACATTGGAACAGAAAAATACTTGCGCCATAACCATCTGCATGCAAAGAGATTTATTAATGAACAGGAGGGTAGTAAGCAGGAGACGGACGTACACATAGTGCTGCTACAAGGTAGAAGAGCACTGTGCCAGTCTGTAATTAGAGTCTCTGGTCACTATAGAGCGATGAAACGTGATGGTTTGAACGTACGACAAGAAGTCTGCTGCTCTGCGACTGCGGACGAGTATCGTGCTTGTGCGACATCACGGTAATCGAAACGTCAATTGGTTTGAGAGAATTATAACACTTGTTGGTACTATGAATACGTGCTGTAGTAGCCTATGAATGTTGAGTATGAAGAGTTATATCATGAACTGAAGTGGGCGTGAGGAAGAGTGAAAAAACGGTGGCTCGTGAGTAGGAAAATTCATGTAAAGCAGGCGCCGTACGGAGTTGGAGCGGGAGCAATCAATGTCGTGGCACAGTGTCACGTGGCACCGCTCCATATGGCTCAACAAGTGTACGGTTCTATGTGTAGCTGCTGGTCTCACCTCAACCTCACATAATCCATACCTAATTAGGCTGCCATATACCCCCGGGTGTGGCAAGCTAAGTAGGCACGAATGCACCAAGTGCCTACACTGCCAGTAAATAGCTGAATAATGTTGAATATCTATACTTCGGCAAAACACATGTATTGTGCCTCTCCCGTACGCAACCAATGATTCCCAATTTAGAAGCTTATGCGCTCACTGCTCAGGAACGTCCGCACCTCTCGCGCTCGCTGTTGTCAACGACGAGCTCGCTTCTACCACCCACTTATACACCAATCTTCACATAGCTTCTCATTGTCTTTGTCCCTTCGTCTATCTCTTATTCACTGCTAGTAGGCTTTCATCAACGTGTGATTACGTGTTTCTCATTGTTATTCACCACATTGAAGGCGCGTGCCCTCCTCAAACACTCACACCTTCCTCAACCTTCTTACCACTCACCATCCATGCCAGCAACACGCAACAAACGAAAGGGAGTCTCCCGCCAAGTCCACATTACCAGTGTCACGAGTGATAGGCAGCAGCACAGTACCACACTTGGGCTACAGGCAGTAGCACGCGAACGTCTCGCTGGGCAGGCACGTTACCGCCTCAATATTTCAGGTAGGTCTTTTCAGGTACTGTACAATCTTTATTGCTTATTGTTCATTCTGTAGGCCTCAGTAGTGATTCACTCGATGTTCTCGGAGAGATACGATCTGACATGGACTCAGAGGACATGACCCTCATGCAAGATGGACAAGACGATGGACTAGTAGGGGAGTGGGAGACTGAGCCTTCAGATGCCAGTGAAACAATTACCAGCGCCATCCGCGATTATGTGGAGACACCGTCAGTATTCCTTCCCTCACAAGTAAATTTTCTTTGAATTTTAGCATTAGGTGGAACCAGCGCGTTCATAAAGACAATCGGACGTGGCGACAGCGTTTAGACCACTTGCATGCCAACTGGAAGCCCCTCCTGGTGCCACTCACAGACACTTATCTACGCTGGAAGGTAACATGCTCCGATCAGCCCCAGCCTGTACCCACCAACAATTGCCCTTCCATTCCCTCCGATTCCTACAGCTTCACTATTGCTATCGTTGATGTTTTTACACTACAAACAAGCGCTTTTATTCATCGTGACGCCAATAGTCTGTCTCCTGCAATCGACCTTATCCGTGCTGGCTTTCTCAGTCATGTACCAGTGTCACCCTCAGTAGCCATCTCACTTCGTACTCTGGAGCATTTTCGCCTCCTCCGTCTCCGCAAACCTTCATTTAGTGTCGAGGCCTATGTCAAGGTGATTTGTGATTCATACAAGGTACTACTCTTGTCTACTCTGCGGTTTGTATCACTAACTGGCATTAGGTACCTTATAAACGTCGCTGGCGTACTGTACTAGCCGATGCTTTTGATACGTACTTGGCCATACTTCGGCAGGTTGAGCAGAGAGTTAACGCTGCCCTCAGTCGCAGTACCTCCAACTGGCGCATACTCAACTCATGCCCTCCCTGCACCTATGAGCTGGAGGATGAGCCCTCATTACCATTCACTCGCATGTATGTCCTGGATGGCGGGAACTCAGCCAAACGCATGGCAGGGTTAGGAGGACGTGAGCGAGGAGACACGCGAACATACACTGAGAGCGACTACATCCTCCCACGTGACTTTGTTCATAGCTTTGCCAACGAAGTTCGACCACGTCATTCACAGGCTGCAGACCCAGTTGCGGGTGTTTCCAATATCAAAGAAGAAGAGGACGCACACCCCGAAGATCTCATGATGCAGGTCATGTCATCCGACTGTAGCAAAAACTGGAAAGCAGCTGCCGATGAAGAGAAGAAACGCATGTGGTCTGTCTTCGATGAAACGGGGATTTTTGTTTCCGCTTGTCGCCATGGCCTTTTGTTATGGGTGACGGACATGGTCAGCAGTGGCGAACTGTAAGATCTCTTGTATCTACGACGTATTTCATGTCTAACAACTTGACAGTGCGAAATACCCTCTTGCGATCATATCCAATGTTATCGATGTTCTCGGTGAGCGCACTCTGGGGGCATATGATATAGGCTGTGGGTTTCAATCAACCATCCGCGCAAGCCGCCTGGGTGATGCATTCGAGAGGCAAAAGTGCCGTATGTGTGTTGACGCGTTCCACGGTTATGCACACAACTACCTATGTCAAACGAAGAACCATCCCAACGGAATTGTTGGTGCGGGCATTGAAGACTTCGGAACTATTGAACGTTTTTTCAGTGCATCAAATGCTATTGCCCCTGTTATCCGATATGCCAGTTCATACCGCCGTCATGTCTTTTTGGACCTTTTTTTTAAGCAATGGGATGAGGATAAGTACTTGAATCTCGGTACCATGATATACAACAACTACAAGCAAGCACTTGACATTCTCTCAACGGAGTCAATTGCTCTTGACGAAGCAAAGCGATCACTCGACATTCAGGAGGGGGATCTGAAGACTTGGCGTCAGGAGGAGATCGAGTATTTCGCACATCTGGGCAAAGAGACTGAGTGGGACGTTCACGCGATGACATATGTGGAACTCCTACTGAAGCTGAGAGACGCAGAGTACTTATTCTTTTTTCTCGTTCTGCCAAGTAACTAACTATTATCTTAGATCTCAAGCACAGTCTGCATCTGCACGATTTCTATCGACGACTCCAATGGATTATCAGTTCATATCTTCTACGGGCACACAGCCTTATTCCAGCGACATGACAGCCACGAGGAAACTCGAGACACAATGTCGGTACAGCGCGGAGCGTCTCGCTACAATACAACAAGATGTCGTTTCCATGGAAGTGAAGATGGGTATCACTAACCGGTGGCAGCCTTCGTCACCTGAGTATCAAGCAACGATGAAGTATATGTCAAACTATCAGTATCAACGTGCATTGGACAATCTTCAGCGCTTAGTAGTTCAGCGGCTTTTCGAGCTTCAACGACTGAATATATCACAGACTGGTATGTGTCCTTCCGATGATTCTTTAGTTTGTAGTAGCTGATTGATATTATCAGCTTATAAGATGCGCACCCACATATCTAAATCCCTTCAAACTCGGTGTCATGCTATCCAAAATGCTGTCAAGACGTATAACGCAGCTGCTGCTGCACTATCACCCCCTCGTCCCCAGCTCGATTGGTCTAAGGTATCCCATTACAGCTTTCTTGAGGAGTTCAACCTCCTGCGAGATACACGACAAGACGTTCGCGAGAAAATGTGGGCCAAACCTGCTATCCGTGCAGTGATCCGACAATGGCTACGGATTGAACGTGCAAAGGAGGAGATAGAACGATGCAATGTGGAGATACGCCGTTTACACACCGCCATCATCGATGAAGACTCTCTATTTACCCAATGTCTCGCCTCGCTCGCAGCTGAACATGTTATCGAACATGTTGCTGTGTACGAATACTGCTCGCGTCGCCGTCTAATCAACATGCAAGTCCTTCACCGCATTTCAAAGATTCACTCGCTTCCAGGATTCTCCGGCTCAAATTCCGCAGGCATAAGGAAAGGATCCAGAGGGCGTACTACAGAGGATATTGCTCTGTCTAGCAGTGACGAAGTCGAGCACGACGACGATGCTGCACCTGCTGTTGATGAAGTTGAGGAATTGACACAGGACATTGGTACCTTGATAGAATATCTCTCAGACTTAACACTTTATCGTTGAATTAGTATAACATGTGGTTTTCATGTACATCCACCTTCACAAATACTATGATTGCTTGGATTTTCTTTAAGTGAAGAGCACTTCAAAAATCACTCGATTAACACTGTAAGGCACTGAGTCAAAGTAAGAGACTGATGATGTGAGGGAAGGTGGAAGTAGAACGCAATGTTTTTGATGCAATCAGGTGGAAGTAGAACGCAACGTTTTTGATGCAATCAGATGATCGATAATGCTGATGCTTCACGCATCAGCATTATCACTGATCATCTGATTGCATCAAAAACGTTGCGTTCTACTTCCACCTGATTGCATCAAAAACATTGCGTTCTACTTCCACCTTCCCTCACATCATCAGTCTCTTACTTTTGCAGCTCTATGAGTTCCAGCAAGCGGTGGGTAGTCTTTGGGGGTCAATCTCCAGGGATCTTTGACAAACAGTGGGTGGTATCACAAAGTTATCAATTCACGCCGTTAATCAACTCCTCCAGACCTTTCATTGCTCGCAGTGGATCCAACACTCACTACTTTCCCTTGGCCGTTCACTGTCAGAGCTCCACTCAAGCACAAAAGCTGTTTGCTCTTCACAGTCTCATACCATCCGTGCCAACACAAGAAGCTTTAGTTGTTGCACGCGCATTCATAGACTCTGATGCTGCACAAGGCGTGCTTCAGAAGGAACTTCGGGAAGGCAAACTTCAGGGCTTCTATGCAGTATTAAGGGGACACGAGATCGGTATCTACACAAAGTGGTGCGTCCAATTATGTTTCAAAATAATGATAGATTGTAACTTCAACATCTGCTTCTAGGAAAGATTGCCACCAACTTGTGTCTGGATTTCGCGGTGCGATGTTCAAGAAGCTCGAAACTTTTGCAGATGCTGTCGCTTGGATGATCATGAAAGGACAGTCTATTGACGGCAAACCCATTGGCAGCAAGAAAGGTATCATGAAAGAGAAGATCGTGGAGTTGCCTGCTGTCGCTTCAGACATCAGTTCAATGTCGAGCGAATCCTCTGCACCATGTAAGTTTTTCCATCGGTTTCTACTCTACCACTTATCAATCAGTTCAAACAGCACTTGTTATCAATACCGGCACACCTCGACGAACGCATGCTTGGAGGACGCCGACAGACACTCGCCCACCTCTTGCTACATCCTCACAGGCGCCACATGCGCACCAGTCCTCACATGCACCACGGGTGTACCAGTATGTGCGGGAATTGAGCGGCATCCAATCAACACTCTATAGCCCACTTCCTGCTGATGATATACCCCTCCCATCTTTTGGTGATGTACCTGATAGTTATCTTGAGGCCCATGGTTATTCACATCGTACCCTCCTCTGTGTTCAGCATGCCCTGGATGTTAGTGTGTCTGGGCAACAGTTTGTTGATAATCTGTCAGGTAGAGGCCTTCCAATCACAGAGGCACAGTGGTTGTGGTTTATCATCACTGGCGATAGCGACTTCTAACTCATGTACACTGTTTTTCTGCTATGATTTCTATGTTTCTAACATGTTTGTTTATCTCTAAAAGTCACGTGTGCCCAACGACGCTAACGTCCGTAAGACTAGCCGAAAAAACTAGCCGACCACTCTTACCAGCAACCTCATTGCCCTTGACAATGGTGAAACAAACGAGCTCGAGCAAAGTCAGCCGTTATGCCCCAAAAATGCGAGCACTTACGACCGATAAACCTCGAGTACCTTGGCGTCGCTGCGAAAAAGCACGATACAAGCGCACTGCGGCTGAAAAAGCAGTGCTGAAGGAAAAGAGGGAAGCTCATCGTGTTTCATACTCTAGCGCCCTCCAAGCTGCTCGCAACATTGTCTTTCATGAGGCAGAGAAATTGCACGCTCAATTTAGTGGGCATAGTGTCCAGTACTACTATGAGGAGATAATGCAGCACTCACGCATTGCCCAGTCATCTCGTGGTGTCAATCGATGGAACACATTTTGTCGACAGGAAGTCAAACGGATGAATGATGGTATGAGCGACTGCTACATTGAAAGTCCCACTCACTGATACACAATTTCCCTGTAGAACGAGCACCTGGCATTGCACCCTTGAAAGCGGCACAATGTGCTGGTGAAATTGCTGAGCGGTGGAATTCCATGTCAAAAAGTGAGCAGGAGGATGCCACTCAATCCGCTGTCAAGGATCTGGAAGATCACCGTGAAATGAAGAAGCTTGCTGTTCGAAATGTCCCCCTGGAAGCCTTTCACGATTGTCAAAAGTCAGTGGGGGCCATTGACCGTGAGGTATTTTGTTTCTGTTGCTTATCCAGGGATATGTGCTCTGACGCAAAATTCTATTGACAGGCTCGTGCCCTGAATGCCCGCACTGGGGTTGAGATCATTTTCATCGCAACACGCTCCACTGCTGACCACTTCAACCAACCACATGTATTTCAAACCTCGCGTGCTACAGACTTTTTTGATGCGTGTTTCAAAGTTAGTGCTATGGACATTGCTCTAAGACTAGAGGCGTTTTCCATCGCTGGCGTTCAAGGTAAGGCTTATGGGCTTCGTCTATGTGATGTAACTAACAATCAATATACAGGCGTGGCTAAAACCTACTTGCAAGAGACTCTCAACCTCAAGAAAACTACTGGGGAGCTAATTTTCAAGAAACTTCGTACATTTTTTAGTGGTTCTGGTGATGTATTTGTCTGAATTTTGAGAAGAACTGGCTGCCACTCCCGAGAGAGTTTCTCGCATGTATTATCACAACTTTGACCAACACATCACCATGAAGCATCACATCATTGTTGAAAACTGGCCGCTTGCCAAATTCTGCTGCCCTGGGGACATCAATTCGTGGACTGAAATATCTGTCCTAAAGTCTGCATGGGACTCCGGTGCCACTAGATTTCGCAAGCTCACCGATGCTGAGTTCGATGAGTGGGAAGAGGAATGCTTTCAGGCTGCACTGCACGACGGGAACAGAGGAGCAAATGGAAATGGAAATGAGGGCGAGGAAGGAGAGCTCGAGAACACGATACCGACTGCAAGCATTCAGTCTTCCATCCCTTCGAATGATGATGGTTCATCTCCGACATCCTCTGCAACTCCAGACACTCAATCCCAGGTGGCTCCCTCTCGCAAGCGTACAGCGCCAATTGCGGCCATCAGTGTTGTAACCACAGCGAACGGAAATGCTATGCATGTGCCAAAGAAGGCTCGGAAGGGACGATCTGACAAGGGTGTCAAGCGCGGTCCTCGAAAGAGGAGGGATGCCCCAGCTAACGATGACACTGGTGACAACGAGCCCCAACTCAACACCGTCTAGTGCTGTGCTGGAACACTCTCCAACTTTGCCTCGTTCATGTCCAGGTCTAATGTGCCTCACTTCGCCCTCGTATTGTCTCTGTCCTCTAGATATACTATACCTTCGTTACTTGCTGTTTTGTCTAGCCCTTATATCTACAAGCAATGAATGATTTTCTTAAATTTTTGAGAGAGAAAACCAGCTTTTTTAGACATTATTTAGGTTTAGAAGCGAGCTCGTCGTTGACAACAGCGAGCGCGAGAGGTGCGGACGTTCCTGAGCAGTGAGCGCATAAGCTTCTAAATTGGGAATCATTGGTTGCGTACGGGAGAGGCACAATACATGTGTTTTGCCGAAGTATAGATATTCAACATTATTCAGCTATTTACTGGCAGTGTAGGCACTTGGTGCATTCGTGCCTACTTAGCTTGCCACACCCAGGGGTATATGGCAGCCTAATTAGGTATGGATTATGTGAGGTTGAGGTGGCTGGTCTTTGTGTTAATGCGAAGAAAAACAGTTATATTAGCCGGCTAATGATATCTGATTTGTACGACTAGTGTCCAAGAGACTTGAGAAGCTATTTGGGCTTAAAACCCGCAGGGTTTTACGACCCGAAACACCGTTTCGAACCTGTGAAGGAAGTCCAGATGAGCCGTGATTCCCAGACACAAGGAGCACTGCGACGCGTCAGGCGCAGCATGGACTCCCGATTCGAAAGGAGAAGAGTGAATTGTGTAAACTCACCTTGTTAACGTATCATTGGCATTGTATAGCGAGTGAACGGCTCCAGCGCTTGTGAGTCCTGAAGATACGGGGCCAGGATTAACGCATGCTTGCGTAGGTATATGGTGAATGCTTCGCTCGACCATCTACCCATCGATTTGATTACGTCGAAGGGAACTCCTCTCAGCAGATATTCCAAGGTACCTCCGATACGAAGCCCATGGCCTTTGAGATTTCCTAGATCCGCTCTCTTGACTATCCCACTAATCCGTTTCCAGAATTCTGATCTCGTCAAAGGCCTCATGCCCTTCTTGTGCTTCCAGGCGAACAAATGACTATCTCGCGGCGGATCGTTAATTGTGAAGTGATTGAGCATAGCGGCTTTAGGGTCTGAAGCGTCTTTCTGCTGTGCCCAGAATACACCCTCCCCTGCGACCGCAGCTTTGGTTCGTGGTAGGAAAATTTTGGTTACCCTCAACCCGTGCCTATCTTCGACATCCATTTGTACATTTGACCGCTTGACGTGTTTCGACGGTTCAAAAGTCTTCATGGATTTGACAGTGAGTTCTCCTACCCGACATAAGGCATAAAAGGCGCTTGTTAAACACGCGAGCACTGCGGCATCGAGGGGAGCTGATACATCTAGATGAGAGCGAATATCAAGAATGAATTTGACTGTAAATGGATCCCGCTTCGAGCGTTTCGCTGCGTCTGGAGCTAGCTCCGAAGCTCCATCCAATGCCGCCTTGAGTTCATCTTGTTGGACCTCCCAAGATTGTCCATGAAGTGTGTGCCAGGCTTTCACCGCATATACGTAGTTCGCTAATGTTTTTCCCGAGTAAGTTCCCGCACAACTCGCTACGAAGTTCAACATGATGCGAGTGTCTACTGGGCATCGTTGGTCTTCTGGTATGTTTCGTTCGTCGCAGAACACATGAAAGACCAGAAGACCTGCCCCATAACACTCCCTGGTTCCTGGCGCCCAGGACATGTTCATCACGGTAAGGACCCTCTGCAAGTCCTCTTCTGAGATGGCCAAACGATGTCCGTCCGTCCCTGTGGGTACTCTGGTCTCCAATGGGAACCAAAGTCTCAATCTATCCCTCGCTAGACAGTGCGGTCGGAGTTGAGAGGGAGCTGGCGTCAGACCTGTTCTATATGGTGAGGGTTTTGCTATAGTGTCGAGAGGAAGTGATGCATTAAAACGTGAGATGTTCGCCGATGCGTTGTTGGCTCTGGTGGATGTGATAGAGGGCGTCATTAATGGTTCCTGCGGCTTTCTCGACGGTGCCGACGGCACCGTCGAGAGTAAGATCCTCGAGGGTATCTGATGGAATTCTGTCCGTACTGTACTCTCTCGGGTCTGTGGATGCAATGAACGGGTCGATGATAAAGGATTCGAGTGCACTGGGGATGTGGAGATTCGGCAGTAGATGTTCTGCGCTACCGTAGACCCCTCTGGAAGGATCATCCGCGGGATTTGCTTTGCTGGTGACGTAGGTAGATGGAATGAATACGATGCTGCGGAATCGTTGATAACAGAGAAGATTCTACGAAATACTTCGTTGACTGCCATGTTTCTGCTGCGACCGTTTCTCCATCCTTCGATAACCCCTTGATTGTCGCCGAATACTTTGAAGTTGCGTTGCGGTCCTCCCATGCTGATAAGGTAGAGAATGAGTAGCTCAAACCCGACCGCTTCCGCCCATCCAATGTCCCTTTTTCCGTCGAGGGTCTGCCATCCTTTCCGCAAACGCCAGGCTCTCCATCTGACTCCGATGGTGATGGCGATTCCGAATCCAGAGCTGGCATCCGAGTAAGCTTCTGGGTTAAAAAGCGTGAGGGGTTTGGGTATTGGCCGACCAACGAAAGAACTCTGCAACAAATGTTTCCACCAAAGTAAGTCCACATCCAGTCTTTTGATGGGTCTCCGTGGGATAAAAGGCTTAATGAAAGCGAGACACAGCATTGCTTCGAGCGACGTGAGGTAAGCGCGCCCTCGTGGTACGACAAGCGTGGTATGCAGCAGCTTACTGTATAGCTGTTGTACGTCGTTAAGCACGTGTGAGTCGCGCGTCTCCCAGCCTCTGATTGCGTCCAAGTATTTCGCCTTCTTCTCCTCGTCGAGATAGACCTTATCCTGCGCGAGATTCCACATGAACCCAATGTATGGGTTGACATAGGCAAAGGGCTTGTCTTTGGGTAGCTCCCAAGGTATGTTGAGATCTTCTGAAAATTCGTCAATGTCCGATAGGTTGAAAGAGAACCTTGCGTCATCGCTTGATCTCGATGACGTCTCCGAAAGGTCCACGATCGGAAAACGACAATCTTCTTCAAACTCTTCCAAAGTACCGTCTTCGAAAACGAAGCCGCCAAACCATACTCTACCGCCATCACGATGTTCTCCTCTGCTAATGATGTCCCGGTGCCAAGCTCTCCGTTTCTCGTTGTAAGCTGCAATGTGTTGTTTGAGAATGCGTATGAATAAATGGTCATCGACCCATCTCGATACGGGACCAATTCCGCGTGAACGAAATAGATCGAGTCCGGCGTCGGCAAGAGAACCGTATGCTCCGGCTGAAGGTCGCAAACCGAAACACATGCATGTGTCAATGCAGAAAAGATCATCTGAGATGCGCGCAACCGAACCTGGCCATTGTGAGGAATGTATGGGAACAGTGCGGTAAGCTTCTGATACATCTCTGATGGCGATCTGTGAGCCGGGCGGCAGACGACTGATTTTAAGTGCTGTGACGTGGAAAGTTCCCCAGGTACTGGGAAAATTGTCTGGATTGATGTATGAATTGATGGATACGTTGGGAAACTTCGGGGATACGATGTGAGGAAATGAATAGTCCTGAATGATACGGTAGCGTCCTGGGCGACCTGGCTTAGGGATGATGGAGAAGGGAGACGATTGAAAGGGGCCGATGAGTTCTTCGACTTCTTTTGCTCGCATCGGTCCGATATATCTTCCTTTTTTAAGCTCAGTTTGCACAATGGTGAGGAATTCTCGTTGATATGTAACAATGGATTGCTTGTTCGGCGGAATCTGCGTGACTCTAATACTAGGAATATCGAGACGAAAGCCTTGACGTAACCCATCCGGAATGTGAGAGTACCTGCCCAAAAGACCGACTGATGCCAGCCTCGAAGTCCACACCTCCGCATCATACGGGGTAAGCGCTTTATGCTCTCTGCGCTCGAGGGCACGTCTGAGCTCCATGAGTGGAGGCACCACATCCAGAACAGAAATGTCGTCGGTCGTGTGTGACCTCTGAGCATCCGTTGACGTGTTGCCAATCGCTGCAGATGGCCTTGCCGTCTCGCATCGTGAGGATCTTGCCAATGCGTGCGCAAAGAGTTTCGAATGCATCGTCCCAGGTTCTGGACGCTTTGCACTCGATAATCCTGTGAGGATTTCGTCCGAGGCAAACGGCGCAAGCGGAGAGGACTCCTCCGCTTGCGCCCGCACGAAAATCCTGACATGGTTTCTTGGCCTTGCTCGCGTGCTCTGGTGAATGAGCACGCTTGGTTGGCTCTTTCCAGTCACGATGTCTCGAAGAGGAACTGACGTGTTGGTCAGTCTGCAGCGGGCGATGTGATGCGTAGCATGAGGCATGTAGCATGTAGCATATAGTGTGGCATGCAGCATATAATGTGCGATGTGCGATGCGCATCGTGTAGCAAGTTATGTATGACGTGCAACATGCGGCGTGTAGCAGGTTTGACATATTTGTTTTGATTTTAAATGAAATAAAACAGGAAAAACGAGATGGTTAGCTTGATCGTTACTTGTCATTTCAAGCGAATCCTGACCTTGTAATCACGTTCGTTGTCTCTCTTGTTGCGCTCATCCCAATATACTCTGTCCCTCGTGTCTTTGAGAACCTTCTCATTGACGTCTGAAAGATCATATGGTCCGACAGAGGACTTTGCTGCGATATGCCACCGTTTCCGTTGCTCTGCCTGGTAGACCAGGAGCGACTTCTGAGCTATGGGGTCTCTGAGTGAGCGAAACTTGTGAACTTGAATGTTCATCCAGAACCGAGCCATCATCCGGACTCTGTCTTGCGGCCAATCTGCCTCCTATATTGCCGTCAAAAAGCGCGGACAGGCTTGACAGAACTCTTCAAAAGGTAAATTTTCGTCGTTAATCACCGAACGTGCGCTTCGCGTAGACGCTGAAGAGACCCAGGCTGTGGAGCCATCAGCCAGAGTCGAAAGAATCATGGCGTCGTCATCAATCGTCTTCTTTATACTAGCTTCGTCCAAGCCGTCGTTAGTGAAATACCATAATTCCACGTACTCGCCTTTGTCCAGTTTCTTTAGAGCGTAAGAACATGGTGTGATGGCCGGTTCGTCTGGTATTCCAGTCTCGAGAATGGGAATGAATTTGTATTTGTTCTTTTTCCTCTCTTCTTTGCGCGCCGCTTCCTCTTCCTCAATCCTCACTTGTTCAAGCCGCTCCCGCTCGTCTTCGTCTATCCTTTGATGCTGTTGCTGACGTTCCCTATCCTCATCTACTTGCTGTTGCCAAAGCACTTTGATTGCGTCGTTGTTCACTTCCCAGATGTTCCGAAGCAATTGCATTGCTTGTGCTTCGGTCGTGTTCTCATTGACTAGCTGAGCGCGGATGTTCGCAAAAACCTCCGATGCGTAGTCCGGGCAAATGTTGAGATTTGGGTCGTTTCGTATCCTCGGCATTTTAGATGTAATAATCAAAATTCTGGTATACGGAAAGAATGCGACGAACGGAGAGCGTAGTCTAGGAGCGGAGTGGTTGCGAGTACTAACGTTGTAGTAGGAAGCAAGAAGGTGGGAAAACCAAAAGAACCGTTTCGCCACATAGACCTAATTCTATCTATGTCCTCGTGCCTCGGACTCAAATAGAATACAAAATTAGGACCTCAGTGACGGAATTTGAAAACTTAACGGCTCCTGTGTCCTATCATCCACTCACTCAATATTTTCACCTGTACCTAGTCCCCGATACCGCTATGTAGTAACTGCTCAGTAGCTAAGCGCACAATTTCTAGCATTGTTTTGGCAGGCCTTCATTTGACGGGTCCTGCAGAATATCACAATCAAAACCACTGGCACCTTTTCACTGGCAGCCTTACAAGTTTTGTTGTTTTGTTGTTCGGTGACGCGCGTCAGCCCGCAGGAAAAGATTTTGGTGAGCAAATAAATTTTGAAATATAATTATGGCCCTTTCCTTGCAGGTTCAACCAACCTATACTAGTTATCAATAATACTCGCTAACTGACGTTGTGTGAGTATCGTGTCTTGACTTCCACTGTGTTCTGGATTCGTCAGTGCGTTGGAAATAGGCCTTGAAGCAACCACTAAGTATTGTCATGTCACTATTTCTGGCTTAGTTTTAGTGCTCACCCTACTCGATTATTGTTCAGCCTCCAGATACCATGGTTTGGTGTTGCTGATGCCCTCATGTCTGCAATTTTGGTATGCAATAGTCTCGTGGCGATCGAAATAACCGCCCTAAATTAGAGTACTTCATTCGCGTGGATGGAACGTGTTTATAATACTATTCATAAGTTCAAGTCCATTCTCGGAATCCTCTGCGCTGTTAGCGAGAGTCATAATGTGGCTCTTTCGCCTCACAAGTTTGTAAGTTGATTGCCAAGTCCTGTGTGTGCCAGTGCCACAGGCTACAAAAATGCTGTGGTAATGTCCGTGCGCGTCGTCCAAAATTTCCTCTTCCTCGATTCAAATAATTTATTTACATAATTTTCAGGTGAACCGTACACCTTCAGGCTATTTGCGAGAAGGAATTAGTTCAGCCCAAGGTCTCTCTCATAGCCAGACCATGCAGAAGGAGGACGGTTGCTCTTGAGTTCCTGCAATGTGGGTTACCTCGGCCTTCTCTACCCGTACCATACAACACATATATACTCCGCCATGCGGCCATCCCTGTCATACAACGCTTTCACCTGCACGGAGACAGTAGTGACAGTGCTGCCACCCCTCCTTCCAACCCTTGAGTCGGCGGCATTCAGCATCTGGCAAGAGCCCCCGTCCAGACCCAAGTCCGACGGCCTGTTAATTTATTCCAATTCCGGCGGCACACAACATCCACGACCGCTCCTCTCTGCGTCCATTAACCATGCTCGATGTCGTGACCAACTTCCCGCCTCCATCTTCACCAGCTCCAGCAGCTTACTCATATTGAACGGCAGTGACGTATCTGCCTGTATGGCACCCACCACGTACGATCTGTTCAAGCTACAATTCAGCATCGAACACAATGTAACGTAATAATAATACTACATACATCACCGTACTCTCTTTCAGAGGTTCCACTCGCCCACCTGTCTTCAATATGTCGCACATCTTATCAAGAGGCGTATTCCGGTGGTGCCATAGGTTATAAGCCCGCATGTACTGCGGGCGAGGGGGCGTTGATGCTAATGATGGCGCATCGAATTCCGGCGGCGTAGGTGATGATATCACCTTAATACTACCCGCCCTTTGACTGGGTGGATCGACTGAGCTAGTATACTGGGTCGGGTCAAGTTCCTTGTTGCCAGCTTTGGCCAAGTTCAGGAGCTTCAGGTGCACCATCAGTGCTGCATGCGCATCATTCGCCGCATCTTGATGGGTATCATTAGTCAAAGTTTTCCTACATCACGTTGGGGAGCTCACAATGCACCATCTTATTATTCAGGTCTGCCTCCCAATTACTGGTGCGCTCTTTGCTCTTCACTAAATTGCACATGAGGTACATAGCAACCATCTTGGCGAGACTGACTACTCGTCGCTTGTACATGCTAGAGAAAGTATCATCTGCGACATGTGCAAGTGCACCAAGTTCGACGAGTCCTCGGGTTGTGATCCCAAAGTCACGATACAATTTTTCGCCATCATCTACCAGTTTGCATCAGGTGAATCACAGTCCATACGTTCAAGCTACGCACTGTGGATGTTCGCTCCTGTCTTTACAACGTTTGGCGACTCAATTACCTCCTTGCGGGCCATTAATAGACAGCATCTATGACACCACTAACTGATTGGGCTTACCAAGACCCTTTCCGGAAACCCTGCCACACAACCAAGTATTCAGGCGGCAGCAGACCATAACTATGAGACGACGTACGTTTCATTTGGCTTACCTGGATCAGCAAGATAGTCGATTTGTCGCAAAGTTGTACCAGTGCTGTTCGTCGTTCCTGTGCACCAGAATTCCAGAGTACACGCCACTCGAGGTCAAATCCAAGGGGACTATAGTAGCAGGCATAATCACAATGGACGCTTCGGTGCTGCATTTGCAATAACAGTTACAGTTTAACATACCTTTCAAGTGTTTGAACCAATTTATTGGCTTCATCCTCGCAGCGCGTGTAGACAACGGCGGGCGAGGGGGTGCAGTAATTCGCGTAGGAGTAGTTTGGCATTTGGGAGGCTGCTTCGGCAAAGGACTCAGATTTCGACACTGTAACTCGACTACCTTTTCCTTTGTAATATTCGGGCATTCTCCCTCCGGGACCTGAGCTTCGAGCTACTGCCATACTGGTACTGTTGTGTAGTTCTGTTTTGTTGATATCGCTACCCATTTTCTTCGGAACAATTCCCCGTCTAACTCTAGTAAGGATCTACACTCGGCTATGCGGTTGACCATCAGAAACTGACCTTGATGTTCCGGTCTCCATAGTGTTTGTGTGATTCAGGGATTTTTTCGGTACTTTATCAGGTCGCAGCGCGACGCATTCTGTACTTCTCAGGTTCTCGTCGAGATTTTCCACTTTGCTATTCGATTTAGACAGTGCAGAAGTGAGGGCGATTTTACGTCTGGACTGCGCCAAAAAGAATGGGTGAATTCTATGTATCGACACATTGAATTCAAAGCATATAACCAGCTATAAGACGCGTACGGCTTGGGTTGCTTCTCACACAAGTCCTTTGCACCCTTCAGTTTCTTCTTCCCTGAAAACAGGTTACCCTCGAATATCTCGATTGAACTGTCAGAATCCACTGTGTCGTCAAGGTCGCCAAACGCTTTCCGTGGCTGTGAAGTGTCATGGACCTCTGAGTTGGTACGTTTTCGAGTGGGTGATTGGAGAATACTTTGACGATAGACTACCCTTGTACTAGAAAGGACGCAGTTTTTTGTCGCCATTCTGGTAAGTCCGACCGGGGTGGAACGGTCTTGCCAAGGCCAAGTTGAATCAGACGCGTCTAGACGCGCCCTGTCACGTGATCGGGAATGATCGGAAATGAAAGCCAAATATACATACACTCATCATTGTATGATTCTTCAACATCTTCTGCGATTTCATTAATACATAATATTATGGTTTGAGTTCTATGTCCAGGTGAGTCGTACAGTAAACATTAACGCAATCCTTTCAGGGAAGCTGCGCATCAGAAAAACAACTGGCCCGCGGTGGAGTAACGATCACATGACAGCACACCTGACATGTCTTAGTTATGCCAATACATAATAATTTGATCGATCATAAATGAGATACTTTTTGGATTTAATTCTTCACTTTTCCCCGTTATCTTTGGTCTCCTTTTCACCGAGCATCCGCTGGACAATTCGTCAAGTTCATTTCAACAGGTGAATGACTAGCCCAATTGAATGTCAGGCAATACTTATTGATGTGCATTGTTCGGTCTAGCAGTTTTTTCCGTTTGAGTCGGAGCTGCACGTTGGCAACAAACCAGGTTGGAGTAATGGCACACATATCTCAGATATCCGGGACACCATCGTCCCTTCCCCAAGATTATGCCATTCTATCTCGTTTTGCTGCTCCCCTTTCACAAGAAGCTCAGGAAGAACCTGAAGCTTCTTCTATCAGGAACGACCAGGAAGAGCATGGTGAAGAGGATGGCTTGCTTGCATCACGGAGGCAGGTTAGGCGCACCAGCTTCCCTGCATCGTATATCCTTCCGCCGCAACCGTCCATGAAAATAATTCCCCAAGTATCGACTGTCCTTCAGCCAACTGAGAACACACCCCTCCTGGCGCCATTAATCCCGCTTATTCGGGAGAATGTGGACTTTCCTAGTGATGGACACGAACCTAGTACCACTCAAATGTACTGGGAAGAATTTTGGATCTTGTTGAAATACACCTTGCCTGTCTTTGGGTGAGTTCATACACCAAATGTACTGTCAACTGACCCAAACCTTTTCGTCAGCACACATGTTTTTGAGCACAGCATGATATTGTCATCTGTGATCTCCATCGGCCATATTTCAACTGTCGCTCTTGCTGCCGCAACTATTGGGTTCATGACGGCTAATGTCACCGGTCTGAGCATTATTCATGGTCTTGTTTCAACCTTAGACACAATGCTTCCCGGGGCTTGGACTTCTGATCAACCGCACCTTGTTGGACTGTGGACGCAGCGCATGAGTGAGTATGATTGTTTTTTTGATGCTCGCTACTTACCATTCGTTATTAAAAGCGGTTGTCGTGGCTGTTACACTTATAGTAAGTCGTCGAATTCCGTTGAATGTGTTTTTCACTGAATCATCGGCTTATTAGCCTATGTTTGTTATGTGGTTTAATGCGGAGCCTGTCCTGCTTTTACTGAGGCAAGAACCGGAGGTTGCGCGGCTTGCTGGTATTTACTTGAAATGGGCCTCGTTAGGTCTGCCGGCCTATGCATTCAACTGCATTTCCCGGTAAGCTTGGCTTCCTTCACTTTTAAACCATCGTCCTAATTGGCACGTTAGCCGATATTTCCAGTCCCAAGGTATGTAGGTCTGTAGCTCGATGCTCACCATTAATTCCCGTCAAGGTCTCTTCGCTGTGCCGACTCGTATCATCATGTCGGTGGCACCTATTAACGTGGTTTTGAATTATCTGCTGGGTGTGTTTTGACGATCAGAGTTTGATCATCTCACACTTACGCGTTCGCTGTAGTATGGGGTCCGGAACCAATCAGATTAGGTTTCATTGGCGCCCCGATAGCGTCATCGATTTCCTACAATCTTGTGTCGATAGCCTCTGTTATCTACGGCATTTTCTTTGTTGAGAAGACTGCCTGGCATCCACTGTCACGGCGGTCCTTTACTTCCTTAGGTCTTCTTGTTCAGCTTGGGTTAGGTGGCGTTGGTGAGTAGCTGAGGCAATATTGGACGTTCCCAAGCTCATTCGAAACTACTTATCTCCAATGTAGGTCAGGTTGCTTCAGAGTGGTGGTCGTGGGAACTAGTCGGGCGTACGTACTTTTCCTTGGTTGTCGTCGGGAGAAAACACGCTGAATCTCGATCTCACAGTTGCTGCTAGCTTGTAAGTGTTACGTTCCTGCATGATCGAATTAACCGACGTTCTGTATATAGACTTGGGCCAACAGCGTTGGCAACCCAATCAGTTCTTTTATCGACCTGTTCATCCACTTTTCAAGCCGCATTTTCTTTGGGTATTGCGACCTCTGTCCGGTTCGTTCCTGTTCTGTGCGGGTGGCATATTGTTTCTAACTGAAACCAGTGTCGGAAATCTTCTTGGTGAAAAGAATGCAAAGCGTGCTGGAGTTTCCGCGAATACAGCTATTCTTCTCTCTGCTGTAGCAGCAGGATTCTTTAGGTTTGTTTTACTTCACTTGCCTTCAACGCTGCTTTTTGAGACCTTGCCAGTGTCGTTTTGTTGGTTTTCCGCAAGTCATGGGGTTATTTATTCAACGACGATACCGGTGTGTCCGAATACCACGATAGCAAAAGTTACACCCACTCACCGTATGGCTCACTTTGACACAGAGGTCGTGAGACTTGTGGCATCTATCCTGCCATTAGCGGCTTTGTTCCAAGTGCCTGACTTTGCATGCGCTATCACATCAGGAATACTGAGAGCTAGAGGCAAACAGGTACGCGCTCTGCCATTCTACGGTGGTCATCTGGCTGACCGGTCCTTATCAGTTCACTGGGGCTCTACTCAATCTTAGGTAAATTGTCAAATCCACTCATTTGGTTCGATGTCTACTTATGCGTTCTTCAGCGCCTACTACGTCATTGGGATTCCCCTTGGATTGTGGCTTGCCTTCAAGCAAGACATGCAACTGGCAGGGCTTTGGGGTGGTCTCACCGTTGCTCTACTTTATTCGTCAACTCTTGGCATTTGGCTCTGCATTAGAACGGATTGGAAGAGGGAAGTGGAGAAAGTAGCTGAGCGCCTTGCTGTAGACAAGAAGTGCCGCGATGCGGACTCTGAACATCTGGTGCAATGATTGGTGAGCTAGTTGATGACGCATATTGGCCAGGAGGTGGCGTAGTGCAGTCCATTCATGTCTTTAACGACCTTATGAAGCTTACTTGAACTCAATCCCCTTGTGGGAAACTCATTATCAGACTGTGCCTCGTCTAGCTGTGCTTTCAAGTGTGAACACATGACGACTCTCCAGATTCGTCCCTTGATACCCAACTTCCTGAGACTGCTTCTTTTCGAAGCCTTGTCAGAATGTCAACTTGGGTGTTGAGCGGTTCGGTGGAGGCACCATCCCTTTTTACTGGCGCCCGAGTCGGGCTGGGTAGTGACCTGATGGTTTGATCAACGGAGCAACGTCACTCACGCACTTTCTCATGGATGTCAATCAAATGGAAATAGGTGACTCGAGGAAGCACATTCAAAATGAAACTCTGCGTTGAACAAGGGTCAATAGTAGAGTTCGGCGTGCCAGACCTACCCCATATTGCATCAGGTCTGAGTGACGAACATTCAAAATCAGGACAATCCCGAACACTTGTTTCACCTTCCACAACTAACTCTGGTTACCCGATGCGTTCCTGTGTCGCAGCAGCTGCCTCCACGATTCGCTTGCACTTTGTATTCTCACCGCTCTCGTACATGCGTTCTTTTATACTAGCCGAAGCTGGCGGTTGCTGTCTTGCGATGCTACGCTTCTGCTTTCCTTCTAGCGTAAAATTCTGCTTTCTCACCAGTGTCGTACGGGTGTTCTTTACAGCGGAAGCTGGCGGTTGGCGACGCTGCAGGCAAAACTGCCCCAATTCGAAGATGGGATTTTCCTGATCAGTGGCGGAGAACTCCTTTTTAGTACGATTTGAGGATAACCGATTAGGTCAAAAACTTGGTTGTATAAGTACCCCTTAAAAAATTGCTAAAATACGTCAATCGCTTCCCCTGATGCCGTTAAACCTTCTAGCGCTAAATTTTCATCAAGTGTCGAGGTCATTACTTCCGTCGGTATACCCAAAAACCTCGGACACCGCACACACAAACATTGTTCCAAAAATACTGGGAAGAATATCGGAGGAGTAGTTTTTAGTCGTATTTTCACTGGCACCCTGGGCGGCTACCGTCCTCATCCCGTCATCGGTTGCTTCGACGGCGATAAGAATACGGCTTGAGCTACTTCGACGGTCACAGATCTTATCACTGGATCAGGATAATCTGTAAGCTCTTCGTCTTCGTCTTCCCTACCCAAAAACTATCGCACGATGAGCGAAGAGATATAAATATGCACAACGGTCTGCAATTTCAGTATCTAATCTTATACTAATGTTCGCAGCAGAAAGCTTAACGTTCCCACCGATGGAAGACGACATGACATTGGAAGGACTGGATTGATGCTACCTATATCCACGACCCAGCCAACCTAGGCGGGTCTTGAAGTTTCAAGAGCTTCAATACGGCTATCATAGGATAATGCAAAACTCCGCGAACCACCCACATCATCGTCCCCTGGCTTGGTTGCGGAGATACCCGCTTCGGGGCTTCTGATCGGCCCATGTCAGGAAGCCGCTCACCGCAAGAATGGTATTCAATCGGGTTACTCCTGAGAGTTCAGGGATGCTCGCGTAATTAACGGTGCAGGCTGAGTCTCTAATTCACCTTCGGTCTTTCGGCCGATCTTGAAGCAGTTTGAGCAAAGGACGACAGTGACCTTTAAGAAATTATCTAGAGCCATAAAATCATCATTCTAGTCAGAAATAACACATCTAGATTGTCTAAGTATGTACCGCCATAAAACCCCAATGGATACAGTATCTGTGATCATACAAGCCTATTGATTATACTTAGTTTGGTACATGCGAGGAGAGATTGCTTTCGATACAGTGTCTGTCAGGAGTCGATAACAGAAAAGAGATAAAACTATCAGAGTTTTGAAATGGCGGGTTGCATTTTGTTGAGATATGCTGAAGCGACTACACTGCCTGTTTTTTTGTTAATGACCTAAGCAGAGAAACTCATTAATCAATCGTCAATTAATTGTCCAAGAAAACAAACCTCGCATCGAGCGCTCATAATGCGGCCGCCCATAGCGATTGAAGTGCTGATGATACGCAAACACGACCCACTAGTGATAAGAGTGAGTGGGTACCGATGAGAATTGGTCACACCAACGTACACTGATCCAGGGGAGTGGAAGATGATGTTCATCGACTGAGTGACTCCCACTCCATTAATGTTTTGTATCAGTCCCAGAGCCACCAATGGAGTGCTACAGCAGCTATGGTAGTCTGTCAGAACATCCCAAAAAGCATCAAATCACTTCGTACTGACTTGTCGATCAAAAACGCCAGACAACCTCCATGGAGCATTCCCGCGCCATTCAGCATGCCTAGGCGACTTATGAGTACTCCCTAAATGTGCCTCGTGCACGTTAACGTACTTTTTGAAACAATAATCTCTGCAATAGTCGTTGCCTCCATACGACCTTGTTTTTCGTGGCTTTCGTGGGCACTGATGTCGATGAACTTCACTGCCTTGGCAACGGAATGACCAAAACAGTGCTCGTCACCAGCCCCGTATGCAATGAACGTGTTGAGGATGAGTTGCTTAACGTAGGGGGATACATTGCCCTGTATCTGAGATGCATCCCCACAGTTGGCCAAGTTCTTGGGGTCTACCCATACCTTGCGCGGTGGTGGGTATGAGGATGTGCCGCCGTAGATGGAAGAGGATGAAGAAGAGGAAGGGGTATATGACTCATAAGTAGGAGAGGGACTGGCGTAAACGGGAGATGGTCTAGAAGACATGATTCGACTTAACAGAGACACGGTTAGTTGAACGGATTGGCACACCTTGGCAAACGAGGACCCGATATTTATCGAATGGCTTGACCCACATCAAGACTTTCGCTCGGCTATATTTAAATTAGTTTTGCTGGCGTAATGAGATCTAGGCATGTTTTGAGCAAACTTCTTGATGCGGCTTTGAACTGGTTGTTGGCAGTTCTCAGATCTCCGTACCAGGTTGAGTAACACGCTAAGTGTGGAAGATCTCGTAATCCACGTGAGTTTGAATTGGAGTGCAACCAGGGATGCGGCAGTGAGTTTCCTGTGAATCCGAGAGTTGGGCCACCATCACTGGGTCAAGTCATTGGCGAAATTATATGTACGTACTGATGGATAGGGTACCCTCCAGATTTCATTGATGGTCCAGAGTCTCAGCTCAGTTTACAGCAAAAAACAGCAATTTGCAAGACACCGTCACGAGAACTTTTGGAAAATTATCAAAATAGCTGGTAGCTGTGTACATGTTCGTCTTCAACTTCCTAATTCTGGGGGATCCACATAGCGAATTCCCAAGTTGAAGATGCGGCCACGTTGAGGTGACGAAGACTGTGAGACCCGGCGGAAAACAGTTGAAAGAAAGAACGTGTGAATCACTTGCTTGACTCCTGGACATTTTTTTCGGACCAATTCACCAAGGCTGTCCTCAAGATCCGCAGCATCGATAGATGTAGACCAACTACAGGAGTCAGGGTACTAAACGGGTACTCCAGAGAATGCAGGTTCAATGATGGTCGAGATCCTCACTGGCAGGAGACCCTAGGGACCTCAGGCTTCTTCGAGGGAGCCCGGTATTCTATGGTCAGTCATCCTCACGTCAACATCCCCCGGTTCACAGCTTCGAATTCCTTTCATCGCAAATGGCAGGGGTATCCTCCGACTCCGACTCTCTTCGGTTGCCACTGGCTTAGTGAGACATGGTCGCTCCAGTACACGATTATGTTTGTAATTGGCTACCTGAAATACAAAGTGCAGACTGTACAGTGTCAACGATCAGTGAGTACCAGGACATAACGTTTCGAAGCGACGTTGGTACCAAAACGTAAGGTAGTAAACAACTGGTAGATAGTGAATCCGTAATATGACACGACTTCCAGATAAGCTATGCACAGAAAACAGCAGACCCTCAATTGCAAGCTTTAGGTTTAATATTTCAGTTTGGAAAAGTCCGTTGATCTTGCACTGTGATTCTGATGGAGATGTTCTCCATTTAGGATCGATTGGTCTTAACTTTGGCAGGAGTATAATAGATAACCTAATCTACCGCAGCACCCTTGCAGGCATTGTAATATTGATTGACATTGAAGACGCAATTTTTTGTCAAGGTTGAACTGGTGCTGTTGTCAGTCAAGAGATAGCTGAATGATCTCAGTCTGTTTGAAACGCGGGAGTTACGGGCGCCACTTACACATGTTGAGGCGACGTCGGGGTCGAGTTCATCCTCAGTGGACAAGGAAAGCCGCAACATCGCGCGTTCGTCAAACTTGCATATTATACAGCTTAATACACAGCACACATAGCTTGAACAATATCTCACGACTGACTCCCCGTCCTGCGGGAAAGCTTTAGTTACAGTCAAACAAAGTGCCATTAATCCCATTTCACAGGGTCGGAGATTAGCTCAGATGTACGAAGGGAAACAGAGGGGAACAGATGAAAATAGACTGACCGTGATGAAGGTGTCCAGAGATGTCCCCGGGCCCCTCGGTGACTGACCGCGGGGAACTGCAGGGACATTCAGAATATGGGTCCTGCTTCGCTTGCTCATGCGAGGGGAGTAAACCCAGAGTGACCTGAAGTAACTGACAAATGGTTGACGCTGCTTACAATGAATAATGATCAATATTGCGACGCCGCATTTCGCGCATTTTTTTTTTGCCAAAAGTGGATGTGACTGATTGAAGGCAAACAGGATACAGCGCTATGGCTCATACCGAGACACGCGGCCGGCATATCGCAGCGTCGCATCGGTTTTGAGGGGGAAAAAAGGGTGGCATACCTCATAAACAGGGGCGGATGGAAGTTCGCGGGGACCAAGTGAGAGGTTCTGTGAGACTCGCCGTCTTTTCGACTTGGACACGAAAAAGATGTACTCGGATAGCCTCATGCGAAGATGTAAAAAAAACGGTGAACCGGTCGAGCGCAAGAATTTTCAGGGATCTGGAGGGCTTGCATGCCCGCTTGCAGTTAGACAAAAAGGTGACACAGGTTAACTAGTAAGCCTCCTCTAGGGCCAGTACTAGGTACGTTAGATAACCCGTTAAGGCAACCATTATTTCTGGCATTTTCAATGCTAAGGTAGTTGGCTAACAAATTGGGCAAAAATTGGAGGTGACGCGCGTCGTGTCCTCCAAGTACGCGTCCTCAAGCCCTAATTCAAACCACCACAAGTACAACATGGAAACGTCGTTTGCATTAACTGGCAAGGGCTACGTGATCGTAGCCGCCGACACTACTGCAGCCCGATCAATTGTCAAGATGCAGATCGACCAAGACAAAATCAAGGAGCTCAGTCCTCATCTTCTCATGGCGTACTCGGGTGAACCAGGTCAGCACAAACCTGATATGACCATTTCAATGTTTTTGAAAATGCAAACTTGACACAGGTGATACCGTCCAGTTCGCTGAATACGTCGAGCGCAATATTCGTCTGTACCAAATCCGTAATTTGTATCCTCTTCGCCCAGCCGCGGCCGCATCCTGGATCCGCCGTTCATTAGCGGAATCTCTGAGATCACGAAACCCGTACTCAGTGAACTTGCTGCTAGGCGGATATGACGCGTCCTCGCACACACCGAACTTGTATTGGATTGATTACTTGGGAACAGTGGTGGAAGTACCATTTGCTGCGCATGGATATGGTAGTTACTTCGCTCTGAGTTTGCTTGACCGGTACGTTGTTGGTCCTTATTGTGATTGTGATGCTTTATCTCGGTTCCTCAGTTCCTTCTTTCTTATTACTTGATAAAACGGTGTGCTGACCACTTTTATTTAGTTACCATGATCCAGAAGCATCCCTGGAAGAGGGTCTTGCTAATCTGAAACGTTGCATCGATGAGGTGGCGAAGCGTCTGGTGGTTAATCCAGGCAAATACAAGGTCAAAGTAGTTGACAAAGACGGTATTCGAGAAGTCGAGATATAATATCCCCCCCTGGCAATGTGTACTGTAATGTGCTACCGCCATCTCCTTCTGTCTCTGTATATTTCTATTTCCATCTCTACAACTCAAACCAGAAAGACACTACCCTCTACTCGGTCCCCTCCAATGATACGCTCCGTCTTCTTCTCGCATGTAAGTATCTTCCGAATCCGTGAAAGTGCACCTTCGTACTGTACCACATCCTGGGGAAACATAATGATTTGGACTGCTTTCTCGATATCCGACCTTCGAATTCTAGAGCCCCAAATACTCTCACAGTAGGTATCCACAAGCCTCACCCTCTCCAGGCTCGCCATTCTATTGACACAAAAGACCGCCGCCACAGACCCTGCACTCAGGAACGTTGCCTGACCTACGTACAGAGTGCGAAGACTGGGAATCTCTGGGAGTAATGGCATCACTGAATTGTCCGAATCAACGGAGAAAGTGATGTTAGTGACTGTGATATCCTGAATGTTTGACCAGGTGCCGAATATTCTACACAGGCGGCTTGCTATGGGCGCGACGATCTTGAATTTTCCCGTCAGACTTCTTCACCCAACATTTTTAGAATGCACGCACTGCGGTGGAAAAGTGGTGATCAGGGTCAGGTCCGGTCCACCGAAATACGCGGGGACTAGAGAATACAATTTCGGCAGCAACATTGTATTAGGGCGATGCACCTCTGGGAAGACATCCACATTATTTACTCACTTGGCAACAGACAGTGCCTCTTCGAACACATGGTGGCTTGTATCCCGTGAGTATGAATGGAGTCTCAGACAAAGAACCTCCAATGGGATCTGCTTCTGCCCTTGCCCCAGTTTCTCAGTACGATCGCGACACCTGCACAACGCCTCACGAAGATGCTGCCAGACGTCTGATCTCGTAAACTTGCCTGTTAGGTCGACCGTCACCGAGCGCAGCGCCACCTTCGCGTTCTCCCCCATCTGCGCAAAAAGCCTTAGTTGCTCTGGAGAGCGAAAGTACAAGTTCCTATAAAGCCATTCCACGCCAGCGTTGTGAAACTGGTGGTTGACACACAGGATGTTGCTTGGGACGGATCCAAAGGAGAGTGTGTATGCGATTATGAGGAGTAAGATCTCATGCGGCAGATCGTCTAGAGTCGCATGCATTGGGACTTTCAGACTCTGGGCACGTTCAGGCTGAATGAAACGAATGAACGGTAGCTGGGCTTGAGCCTATCGGCAATCGGATATCACAGTGTGGGAGTTGTTAGTCACTGGGAACGGAGCCTTTGAAAAGGCAAAACCTTACGCGCCTCGCAGAATCAAAGTAGGCAAACCAGTACTTTCATGAGCGAATGGGGTAGAATTTTCATTCCGAGAAGTAATCAGCAGCTTAAACTTATGGCCGCTCATCTTGTCCCTGGTAGATAACCCCAGTTGCACCTGTGTGCCCAGATTCGGTAATCCTAGTGTATTCAGCCTGAAATTGGCCTGAGACCACAAAACATGTGGAACCGCGAAATCAATCACTATCTAGCTCAACCTACAAATCACAGAGTCAATCGAGTAAACCCTGAAAAATACTACAATGTAACTTACCACATTGGCCATTTTGCCCTTTGCCCGTGTCGCTGCGGCCCGTGTAGAGGACCGCCCTGACGGCGCGAAACTCAATGTGCCCTGTCCTGACGACGCCTTCCCTTTCGTACCTGTCTTCTTCGCAAGAGTTTTCTTTGCGGGTTGACTAGAGTTGGGCAGTTTTAGCATGTATGGTGGGAGTCAGAACATAGCCGGAACCAACCTCAATACTGCAGCACGATTTGTCTTCTTGGTAACTTTTGGTGGTGCTTCGTCTTCCTCCTCATCGTCATCTTCATCTAATTCCATGACTTCCTCAGATTCACTCTGCGGTGATTCCAGTCAGCGCCCCGTGTACCGTATCATAGTTTGTAAACTCACAGCAACAGCCTTCTTTCCTCTCCCTTTCTTTGCTGGTGCAGCCTTTTTCACGGGTGCAGCCTTCTTCTTTTTCGGAGGGGGTATGGGTTCGTCAAAATCTGACCCACCATCTTCCCCGCCATCGACTTCCATGAGCATCGAGTCGGCGTCGGAGTCCGCTTGGGCGGAGGCTTTTTCTTTGCCCTACATTATGGTATGAGGTGCAAGTTTCACGGGGTGGGTGGGGCCAACGTCGAACACACCTTTCCCTTGGCTGTCTTCCCCGTCCTTGCTTTTTCTAGGTACTCATGGTTGTGCTGCTCCTTAAGTTTGACGAGCTACATAAAGCAGCTTGAATTCAGTAAAAAATTAAAATGAAGCCTAGAACGTACAACGTCATCTAGCTCTTCCTCATCTACCTCTCCATTCTCCTGTACGCCTTTCATGAGCGCGCGTAGAGCATTCGAGACATGTCTACATGAGCTCACAATATTAGCACGATGAATCGAAGTAGGACAAAGAGAGTGACGACATCAGAATATTCGTGACATCATCAGGCCTCTGATAAAAAATCCCGAAAACGCAAAGCAACACTCACGTATGTATAGCCCACCCATCATCCTTTTCTACAAACATTCTAATTGCCTCATTCATACCCGCTTCACCGAGGACCTGCAGCTCTTGCGCCGCCAAATACTCTTGTACCAATGTTTGCACGCGAACTTTCGCCAATTTTTCGCTCGTCGTAAGGTCTGGATCGTCAATGGATAGTTCGGGCTGGTCCGCAGAGGTCGCGGTACGGGAGGCAGCGGAGCGGGCTTTGGATCGGTGGAAAGAAAGCACGTCGCGTGGGTTTGCAATTCTCCCAGTGAACTCTTGTCCGAATCGGATGGGATTGGACATTGCAGGGACGTTAGTGGTGTCGACCTACCAATAGTAGTGTCAGTATGGGTGCGGTCTGCATATTCTGTATCACACTATGTAGAAGGATAGATCAACGGACCTTGAGCCGTACAAGCGGCAGCATACGTGGGAGCTCCTCTTCACCTTCTTCCACCGCGTGCGCATTGCGCTCGTCCCATAACTGGTTCGCTTGGTCAATGAGAGCGTTTACCTAAATTGTACAGTGAGTCAGCAACCTACACGCCAGGCCTAAGTGAAAACGAAAAGGGACCCACCCTTGCTCTCAAAAACTTCCCAACAGCAATTTGGTCGCTCACATCGAACCCCTCTTCTTCTGCCGCCTCCGCGAGAAAAATGTCGCCCAACATAAACGGACGTACGGTACGCAAAGGAAGAGGTTTAAGTTCAAATTCTTTGTTATGGATCTGGAGCAGGGCAACGTGCCTTTGTCACAAAATTCATTATGTTCGAGAACCAAAGGCACATCAGATACGGAAGGTGATGGTAAGACGGTGAGTCAAAAGAAAGAAATCTGGAAAGCTGACACTCACTTCTCCAATCCCTCGCCCTCGCCCAAACTTGTAGCTACACTTGACCCAGGCTGCGTGATATGGTATGGACGGCCAGCGACAGGCTCAGGCACGATACGGCAGTCGTGCTCATGGCCCCAGACGACGAGGTCGATACAGTCGTCGAAGAGGCCTTCTGGTACAGCTGGAGTTGGAGGGTGGGGAACACTACCGATGGTATTGATTATTAGTTTGAGGAACGGAAGAGTGCAGGGAAACGAATACGCAAGAGTAAAGACGTGCGAAATGATGGACTAGGTAGGATGCTTGGGCAGGGGACAATATTCGCGTACCGGTTTTGGTGCACCACAAGGACGTTAAACCAATCTTCCTTGTCGCTAGGCATGTACATCCGCACACGATTGCTGCGGAGTTCGAAGTGCATGCGTGCATCTTTGACATTGCCAACTCCATACAGTCCAAGGCGGGTTTGACCCTTGCGAAGGAGAACGGGGCGGATAGATATACCTTAGAAACAAAGGCGAGGAAAACAAACATCAGCGTCGAGTCACCGCACACGCAGAACATGAGCATACCTGAATCACTTTCTACAGGGTTCGGGTTTGACGCGCTGGATAGTGGGAGGTCGAACTTGCCCATGTAGTTTATGAGCCCCGATACAGAGAGTACATCGAGCGCACATAGAGCACCTTCCTGTTAAATGTAAATCAGTGCTCAGATGTGAGAGGCGAAGGATAGGATAAGCGCAAAGGTAACGAGGGAGGGCTAGGTTCTGAATGGTAAGAATCTATGGCAAGGAATGCGGCTTACAGGCCCAGCACCTTGTGGATCATCGTGGTTACCGTGAATGCTGAAGACGGGAATGGCAATGTTGAGATTTGAGTCTTCGTAGTTAACCGCTGGGAAGCTGAAGGCCGTGGTTATTCATTCAAAGAGATGAAGAAAATTCGAACGCACCTGTATCCCTCTGCTCGCCCGTCATCTGGATTGCTAAGAAGCTCAAGTTGAACAGGCTTGTCACCAAATGTGTACTCCCGGAGAAGTGCCATAACCTGGTATAAGCAGTCGCGTGACGGGCGGTTTTCATGAAATAGATCGCCGCCGAGTAAAATCATATCGACCTGTAGACATTTTCAGGAAAAGAGATGAATTATGAGGGATAACACGGACATCGTGCTTGACAGCAAGCTGAAGAATTTCCTTGAATGTGTTGATAGAGTCCTGACCACGAATTGGGTCGCGCTCAAGATATCCAATGTGATTGTCTGTTGCAACCAATATCCTTATGATGTCCTCCTGGTCTGGCTCAATGCTGTGAGTGAATGAGCGGGCTATGCTAGTGAGACGAGCGTACAGGCACTGCGGATTGTCGGCGGTGGTGCCTCGTTGTCTGACATGGTGTAAAGGATGAAGTCGTTGAAATGTCGACGTCTGCGTCAGGAGACTTGTGTATGTATCGTGTCAGTCGACGAGAACAACATGCAAGTAAAGCAGTTGGACGCGTCGCGTCGCGTGGTTTGTCACGCCGTCACGACGCTGCTTGATTTTAGCCCCTGAGCATTTATCGTACTTAACAGCGCCCTCGACTCGCTTACACCCGAGCGCTGATTGGCTAAAATCTGCTTTCTTGAGTGGAAAGAGTTCTCCCCGTTGCATTTTTTTCATACAAGTGCCTAATAACTGATCTCATCCCACAAAACCCACTCTACTCCGTAGAGTCTGGAATGTACCAGACTAGAAAGACCTAAGGTCTCATTTTACAGGCGATAATGTTAACATCAAGGCCCTAAAGGTTCGGCGTCGTCTATGTCCGAGGATATATGATGTGAACTGTTGTCGCATTCGCAACTCCCTCCCCCTTCACGCTCAGCCACCGTCCCAATCGATGCTCCTGTCCTAATCCCACAACTAATAATGCAGGTTGAACTGAACTCTTGGTGGGAGGCAGTTGCTCTTTTTCTCTCCAAGAAGCATTATCCAATGCACCTTTGGGTAAGACGAGAAGTTGCAGGGAGTTAACTACACCGGGCGCAGGTATTGAGCCAACCAGTGAAAACGATCTGAGTTTTTGGTCGAGCTTCCAAAACCGCACATCACCATCCCACGAACCTTGGAGTTGAACTGAGCAACGTCGCTGTTTATGACAATGAAAAGGAATGGACTTACCAGAAACAAACATGTCGGAATAGCGTAGTGATGCAACGGCCGTTATCCAGCGGGGTGTTCGTACAAGTCCCTCGGTTGAGGACTGTATTTCGTGCAACCCATGGCACAGTGTCTGTGTGTAAACAGGTTTTTTCTTTTGGGTGTTCCAAAGACATATCGAGCTTCAGGCGGTATTCAGTGGTATAATTCATAGGATGCCGAGCAACATACCCAGTATCTCCCCCGCTCACAAACGTAGTTTCATCAATCATTGCGACACACTCGATACTCCCTTCCGCATATTTTTTCTCCTTCATCCTTTCCTTACCTTTGTTTGATTTTGGACCATCAACCTCCACCCCATTCACATGTTCCTCATCTTCGTGGCCTTCGAATACACCTCCTTCAAGCAATTCCCGTATTGCACTTTTTCCACCGCCACGAAAGACCAGCTGACTCTCATCTGCAATTTTCCAGAATCGAATCGTTCGATCTCTTGCTCCAGCAGTGACAGCACTCTCTCCTCGGAGCGCATCAAGGCAGAGAATACTATCTTGGTGTCCAAATAGCGTTTCTACATATCCCATTACCGAGAGATCGAATAGCTTGACAGTCCGATCAAATGAGCCAGTGTACAATTGTTGTGTGCCTTTCCGGAATGCAACGCTCTAGAGGATACAAATAAAATGTTAGCATTGTATACATTATGCACATAAGACATACATACTGAGACCGAATCCTTGTGTCCCCCAAAACCTTTTACCCATTCATCCTTCTCTACATCCCACACGCCCACTCTCCGATCTTTAGATCCACTGGCGAGGTATCGACCATCGCAACTTACGGCGAGAGAGAGGATCTCGTCTGTGTGTCCTTGAATATCTTGAGGGAGCGCCTTCTCTTTGCCTTTGGAAACGCGCTGTTTATAGAACGTCGCAATCTTTTTCCCAGACTGCAGAGACCACTTATTGATGGTTCCCTCTTTCCCTGACGTGTATAGAAACTGGGCATCATTCGATGCAACCGCAGAAGTAACAGAGAAACGGTGACCTCTGCATCGTAGGGGTGACGTCGAGGTAAAATCATACTGTCAAAAACTACGTCAGCCAGACCATCACCGAAGACAAAAAATACAAACAAAGTCTGCCACGAATAAGTGAACTTTGCCAGAATGCTCCAGGACGTCTTGTCGCAGTCGTTCTGATATTAGCTCTCTGTCGATTTCAGCAGCATCGAATTCTCCCTCAGCTTATTTCCATAACATTGAGCAAACTCAGAACACAAATTCAGTACAACTATACTCACCTAGACCATCCTTCACACTTTCCAGGTAGAGCTTCGCCAATCGTAATCGCTTTTCCGCAGGGGTTTCCTGTTCATCTTCATCACCGCTGGTCTCGAGCTGGACATCCGCGCGCAAGTCGATGTCATCTATTCCGCCATCCTCCGAATCTGTTCTGTCCGAGTTCAATTCTTCATCTACGGCTCCCCTCACTCCCCTCCTTGCGCTTGCATTGGTAAGTTTTGTGTCCTGAGAACTAGATTTGCCCTTGCGCAGGATTTTCTTTGCTCCCCTAGCTCCCTCGGCTGTGCTGACAGACCGCTTCCGCTTCCTATTTTTTGTCGAGGCGAAGAAAGAGTCTGGCATAATCTAGTCTTGCAGATTGAGCTCCCTACATACTGCCGACCAAAAAAATCTGGAAGCGGAGTGTACCGGGTCACGTGAGACTGAACTGACCTGGTTACCATATATGGGTCTCCAACTCCACTCTCTCAGTAGCCCCAAAGTAGCCCTGTAAAGAAAAGTCCGATGATCCAGGCGCCTGTAAGGTTCAGATCTTTATCGTCCTTTCATCTACCGGCACACTCTTGGGCAAGAACCACCATGCGATCTCTTACTGTCGATTCTCTCAACCCTGCCGTTCGCAACGTGCAGTATGCCGTGCGCGGCGAGCTGGCAATAAAGGCAGAGGAATATCGTGTCGTGCTTAAGGAGAAGGGTCAGGACAGCGGTCTGCCATTTGATCGAGTTATCTCTTCGAACATCGGAAACCCCCAACAGAAGGGGCTTGACCAACCTCCCATTACCTTTAATCGGCAGGTTAGCTTTATTTTATATTTACCTCAAAGTTGCAGAGGTGCCGAAAGTATTTCTCACAACTGTAATAGGTTGCTGCACTCATGGAGTGGCCACAGCTGAGCCAACTTGCGCCCAATGCGTTTCCACAAGATGTCATTGCCCGTGCGAAGGAATTGTACGACGAAATTGGCTCCATCGGTGCATATTCGCATTCCCAGGGTGTCCCTCTCATTCGTCAGAATGTCGCGAAATTTATTCAGGGTGAGTAGCTAAATCAGTGCCATTAGGTCTGACGGCAACGTCACTGGACCTTTTATTCACCACGTGCCAAGTCGATCCGTCCAGCCGAGTTCTGTTGATTTCTCGAGGAAGTCACAACTCGCATTGGTTTGGATTAGTGTATCTATCATTCTGCACTCGCGAGAGGGCGCAGCGTCAGCCTTACTATGAGTCGTGATACTCTCAGGGTTGAATATTTCTTTTTACCTAACTGATGCATAATCACAGAACGCGACGGCCATCCATCCTCACCAGACAACATCTTTCTGACGGGCGGCGCTTCTGCGGGCGTTTCGCTTCTGATTTCTTTGCTTATCTCGGAACAGCACAAATCTGGTATCCTCATCCCGATCCCGCAGTACCCTTTATATACAGCGACACTGGCGCAATTTTCGGGCGTGCCGATTCCGTATCATCTTGATGAGGCACATGAGTGGTCGACGTCAATTGACGAAATCAAGGCTGCACTCAAAAAGGCAAAAGAAGATGGCGTTGACCCCAAAGCACTTGTTATCATTAACCCTGGAAATCCAACGGGCGCATTGTTGAAGGACGAGACACAGAGGGAGGTGGTGAATTTATGCGCAGAGCATGGACTTGTGCTCCTCGCGGATGAAGTCTACCAGAGTAACCTGCACCGTGCAGCCGAATATCCATTCACGTCATTCAAGAAGGTTGTCTGCGACCTGGGCTCGCCAGTTCCACTGGTATCCTTCCATAGCATCAGCAAAGGTGTAACAGGGGAATGTGGGCGGCGTGGTGGTTACTTCGAGTGCCATAACATCCCTGATGACGTGCGCGCAATGATGTACAAAATGGTGAGCGTTGGCCTTTGCCCTCCGCTCCAGGGGCAAATTGGTGTGGACTCCCTTGTGCGACCCCCCAAGGAAGGCGACGAAAGCTACGCGTTGTGGAGAGAGGAGACAACGCGAATCCACAAGGTACTTGCGCAGCGCACCAAGCTCATGGCAGGACGCCTAAACAACCTACCTGGTGTCTCATGCGTTGATTCCCCTGGAGCTTTATACCTTTACCCCAAGATCACGCTCTCAGAAAAAGCGATAGCTGCCGCACAGACTGCTGGCAAGGAACCAGATGCATTCTATGCACTTGCGCTTCTGGATGCAACGGGCATCTGCGTCGTGCCAGGCAGTGGATTTGGGCAGAAGGAAGGAGAGTACCATTACCGCCTTACCTGCTTGTGTCCTGGCGTGGACGAATATGTCGGGAAGTTAGAGGAGTTCCACCGCGAATTTTGCGCGAAGTACCAGTGATCTCGAACCCTACGACTGCATTATTAACCAACGGCTTTAAACGTTCGTTAGGCTAGACCTAGACGTCATTGCTGACTTTGTTGCGATTGCTTTGTAGTACTACTATCTGTTTTCATGTGTACACTCGGATACCAATAGGTATATATTAACGTTCATGCATATGTCTGGCTCATCATTTTATGGCCTGGTGCTACTTGGGTAATAGTACGCCACCCAAACACGGCACAAACCAATGTGTTTATCATATCATATTTGCACATCACATCACTTGGGCGGACCCCCTGAATTGCTCGTACTGTGGGGAGGAATAAACTCAACCAGAGACCGTGACATTCCTGCCAAGAACACCAACTTTTTGAGCGGAAAGTTTTACCGTCAGGTTGAATCTTGATGTCAGTGGTTCCAATTCCACTCCCATGTTCCGCCGCCCACCGTGTTCACATAGCCTCCGTCATCTCTCCTCTCAAGCGTGTTCGTCCAAGAGCTCCATTCTATGAACTCTCTGCTCATCGTGTTCCAACCCTCTGGTCACTGTACCGGGGTTTGCTCAGACATGCACCAGGGGAAAACGTGAGCAATATGCTTTTTCAGCCTGTGATGTCTAACATGAAGTACAGATCCGGTTTCGTGTGCGAATGATGTTCAGGAAGAACCAGCACGTTGTGAAGGCGCATTCTGCGAAAGAGCAACTCGTAATGGGATACAAGGTATTGCGATTCTCCCAATCGTCATCATTGGCATGATGCAAAGGAAATACAGTGGTTAGAATCTTTCAAGCGCGCGAAGCAAGGTGATATCAGATTTCAGAACGTTTTAAGCCGGTATGAAAGAATGATTGCCTCCAAGCGCGAGAAGACTGCTTGGAAAATGCGTATACTAGAAGCATTCGTACGTATCCTAGTGTCCATGCTTCATTATCTACTCACAGAACTCGATTAGAATTGGGAAGCCAAGCTCCGCAGTCGTCCTATCTTCAAAGGCTCCTTCATCCGTCCTTCGTTTGACAACAAACTTCTTCCTCGCCTAATTCCCCAGCCTGCTCACATAAGTGGAATGATCGTGCGCCGACGTCGCGCGCGCGAGCGTCGATGGGAGCAACGGGAAACATTGAAGAGCTGGGCACATGACTTACGGTATGAGAGTCTCTTCGAGTACGCGTTACTCAAGAGTGCACGAGGCCAGGCTGTCACGGTGGGTGCGGCTCGGCACATGAAGGGCAAGATGTTGGGGGACCATGCCAACCGTTCTGCAGAGGAGGTTGTTCAATTGCTTCGTGAGGAGCGCCTGTCGTGGACCCCAGTGTACACGGGAGAGGCAAAATCTCAGTGGGGTGAGCTGTGCATTTATCTGGGCAGTTGATAACGTTAACAACGTATGGTAAGTCAGATGAGCCCCTCCTCAAGCGCCAGGCTGAACTGAAGGAGTGCATGATGCGCGATATCTCACGGTATCGTGCTACACCACCCGCTGGACTCGTACTGCAAGGCAAACAAGCACGCAGAGACAAGGTGACAAACAAAACGAGTCAAAGACAGCGTGAATGCTCTGGTGAAGTTACTGCTACCACCCTTAAACGCCGGCGAAGCGCACCGCCTGCACATATCCGAGAGCTCATGACCCCGAGGCAACTGCTAGTGGACAGGGCGATAAGGGAACCAAGTGAGGGCGGGTGGTCGGGTGCCGTTAAGGCGCACATGGGCGTGCATATGCACATGCCCCAAAAGTGGAAGGCCGAGGGCGGGTGGGAAGATGAAGAAAAGAAGAAACTTCTGGATGATATGGAGAGGGAGATTCGGGCGGAGAATGAGAGACGAAGAAAACACAGTAAGCTGGAAGCTGCCCCCTTTTCTGAGTAGTCAAGACCTTGCACATATGTATGGCAAAGAGAGCAGAGGCTTAATAGAGAGCAGGAATGACTATCTTCATTCGACTAAGGTCTGCCTAGAAGGGACTATGGCAGAGGTAGATTGTACAGCCCAATGACTTGGGAAATTACTTCTCGAGGAGCTCCCATTTTGTTCTACGAAAGATTATCAACCCTGGCTCTCTTCACCGTGCGCATTGCTCTTGTGCTTCGGTGTAAACGACCACGATTCGGGCGCAGGACCGAGGAACATTTCCGAGATTTTGACCCAATCCTTGCTATTCGGACTTGCGAGGAGTGTTTCTACTCATTATAAACATTAATTTTCAGTCCCCACAAGACAGATAAAGCACACGCCTAATTCGTCTCTCCCTTTGAATGTTGGCGCTCGGTCGTTGATCTTGGCCGGGAGTCGTTCGAGTAGCCCGATAGGAACATAACGGTATTGAAATGAAAGCGCTTCACAGAGGAATCGGCGTGTCGTGTTCACGCCTGTTGTGTCTGTACCGAAGTGACTGAAGATGCAGACTTAGCTAGCTATTGTCTTTGAATTGAACAGAAGACAAACCTCAATCCAAATTCAGTGAACTGTTTGAAAATATGAGCCAGGTCGGATATAGAGGAAGGAAATGGAAGATTACCTTGCCAATTAACTGCAATCGCTCCCTCGAGCTGATATCCCATTCTCGGTGCTCCTTCACTTCCGTGAAAATCCATGGTTTGATAAGTGCTCCCCGTCCAATCATGACTCCGTCCACGCCAGTGGATGAAACATTGGTCCAGTAATCATGCGATGAGAAGCAATCGCCACCACCGAAAATGGGAATCGGAGATACTGGATGAATGTACCGTAGGTGTTGCGTCAAAACCGACAGGCAACCGTCAGAATGGTAGAGGCAAGTGAAGTGGATGGAACTTACGGCCCTTATCTGCCTCTTGAGCCCGCACAGCATCAACGCATTGTTTTATGTACTCCCAATCAGCCAATTTCGTATACCGTTGCTGGCGTGTGCGGCCATGAAGCTATTCTCTGTCGCATGAACTGACAAGGTATCAAGGGAAAATAATGGCGACACACTGTGATACAACCAATCCCCCAATCCGTGGCAGCGCGTAGCATGATCTTATGTGCATTATTACGACCGTCCTTGACACCTGTCCGTAGCTTTATTGTGACCGGAATTTCGCCCAACGCCCTGGACATCCCAGTGACAATTTTGCCCAGTTTTGCTGGTGCATCCAGTACTACGGATCCAATTATATTTATTATCGTTCCTGGAGGCGACATGCCAGAGAACTCACAAGCACTCCCGCTTCCGCTTTTGAAGACAAGATCGATCGGACATCCACAGTTCACATCGACGAAGTCTATACCTCCTGAATCACCAAATTCGCGTCCGAGTACTTCGGCAGTTGGAACTAATGTGCTGGGTTTATTTCCTGCAAGCTGAACTCCGAACATGGTCTCCGATGGATGCCGCCGAACGAGCGAGAATTCGGACGCAGAAGCGGTGAGAAATGAGGTCGCAAGGCCCACTGAATGAGGATTGCAATATCAGTGCACGAAATTGAATGACGTGAGAGATTATGTGAACGAGAGGAGAAAAGTGACAAGAAGTAATAACGCACTTTCGCCACATGTTATATCCGCTCCAAGTGTCATACATAGGCGTCTGAATGGCTGAGATACTTGGTCAACTGGTTTATTGTTTGGGCAGCGATATTCGTACCAAGTTGCCGACCGTTGTTAACGGCGCGAGATCTGACCATAAGTATTCGGTTAATTTGTTTTAATTCATTACGAAGAGATTATCATACATGATTTACCACTCCAGTTCAGCCTTCGTTTCTCTTGTACGCGGATCAGAACATCTGGAGTATCAGCCTGAGCACTGGGATCAGAATTTCCAGTGCGCTTTGCAACGAGTTCTGACGAAATAGATGGAGGATCATCCGTGACCACGTTATCTTCACCGACAGCCACATATCCTTCCGGTCCATTGGAGTCTCCTTTAGCAGCCTCCAGTTCTTTGAGGTATGCGTCGGTTATTGGCATAGGATACTGCAATGCAAGTAGCGATCAAAAGGTGTGCAGAATGGTGTCTGAGGGGTCGACAGGAGGATCTAACCTTCTTGGACCTAAGTAGCTTCAAGGTATCTGCACTGACAAAATTGAGTTCGGTGGCGCTCAGCGCTGTCTGAGCCATCTTCTCCTCATCTTTGACGAGCGTTATTACCCCGCTGAAATCACGCTTGGCGTGAGCTCCTAGAAAACGACACTTGAGTCCTAGACGACAGACTCCCGATTCTGCAAAGGAGGGACATGATGTGTGTCGTTCCAGCGAAGAAAGATTATCGTCAGCCATAGTAGAATCATCTTCCTCCGTGCCCGTGATAAAAGGAGGAACATCTGATATTGTCGTAATTGAAGGGAATCGAATGTCCCTTGGTTTGGCTGCCAGATACGCGTCGATGTCATGCGTAAAGCGACATCTACACAGTATAAGAGATATCCAGAGAGATGGCAGAACAAAAACACGGACTCATCTCCATGTTCGCATATTTTCCCATTGGCGACTCTCCAGCATAGCTCAAGTTGATCGTGTACCTTGCCAAACTTGCGGCCCTTATTGGCACCACGCTTTTCTTTCTTTTGTGCCTTGGTCCACTTTTTGCGGCCACCCGTGCCCCTTGGGTCTGCATCTACCGCATCTACGCGTGATGTTCCAGTGTGAGCTGTTGAACCTTCCGCTGCGTCATCATCAACCGTAGGAAGAGTAGCAGGGGACAATAGGAATCTACGGACGGTGAACCATTTCAAAGGTAGTGAGAAGCCGAAAAAACCTACTGTTGTTTTACGGGTGCGGTTCCCGGAGGGAAGGACGTACTGGTCATCGTGCAACTTTCCAGGCTCTGTCGTTGTGCACTAAAGAAATACAAGAATGACTTATTTTGCTTATCGCATCGCCACAACGCTATAACAGGCAAGAAATTTACGGTACATTACATAATTAACGGTACTTATATCTGAATCTAGAACACATGAGGTAGCTAGATCCAGTGGTTGAACGAAAGCTTGATAAAGAGTGCAGCGGGAGTTTGCAGTGACCGATTCGAATTTCGAACTGGAAGCAGCCAGAGCCTGCAGCTACTTCGAAGATGAGAGTGGCCAACATTTCTCGATTGCCCCTGTTTCGCATTGTATCGGCGAGGCAACGGTTCCTTTCCTACCGATAATTTCTCTCCATCCGCTCTAGTCACCCACTACATTTTCTATCTGCTGTTGTAGCAAGGGTCTACGAAATAAAAACAATGCAAATCGGCCATCTGAAGTCACTTAAGTTTAAAGGGATCGATATGAATTCAAGCAAAAAGCTGCTCACTTGTATCTCATCCTACTTCGATGGCCACTTTGTCTCGAGGGGTCCATGGCAACAGCCTGGCCTTCAAACGGAAGCAAAGCTCACCAACTCCTCGTTTTCCTTTCTTGGATTGTCCGGCACCGCGGTAATACAAGCCACATTGCTGTTAGCGGACGCGAGTCAGGGACAATAAGAGAATCGTACCCAATCTGCACACCCCTGGCATCTCGCTGTGCCGCACGCCGGAAAGAGAGTATCACGATCTTCTGGGGCTCCATTGTGTGTATCTGTGTGAATGATAAGCGCTAGCATCAGTCATTTTTGAACAGAGCATTGTATCCGCCGCTGCAATCACCTCTATATAAAACTTGGTCCGCCTGTCAATAAATAACCACCGGTGCACCAATCTTTGACATGTCAATAATCGGAAGAATATACATATGCTGAAAGAAAAAAACTTTTGCATATAACCTCGTGCACGGTGGAGTTCCAGATTCCCAAAGTATCCTGGAACAAAAGATTGGAGATCCCCGAGGTTATTTTCGAACTACTAAATCAAATCAATGGGCATCAGAAGCACCAAGACAGGCTGACCATGTGCATGAGGTACCCACAGGTCCTCTTTCCACAGTTAGATCTTTTTTCCGAGTGCGCAACAATGATAAGGGCGGGTCGAGTCAATGTTATATTAGGAAAACTATTCGGATTCAAGAACCCAAACCGCTTTCAAGCTTCAGGGAGGACATCACTGTCGTTGGGCCTAATGAACTGCGGCATATGATATGACATGTGGGACATGCAGAACATACCTAACACATAATTTGCCAGTGCAAGAATCGACGCTTTGAATGAGTATTAAAGTGCAACTAAGCATATCTACATCGCAAGGGTGTAGGAATATCGAGAGTTCGAATCAAAGGGACATCCAGAGTCTGTTGTTTAATTATCCATTAAAAATTGCCATGCATACCCTGCCACCCTCCATAAGATGTGTTATTCATAAACGGTGGCTGCTGCTGCGCTGCAAATACTGGTGTAGCAGAAAATGGCGGTTGCGGGGAGTACTGTTGCTGAACTACTTGTGATTGCGGTTGTGCATACATGAAGCTGGGGTCTTGCATATGACCAAGCATTGGTTGAGAGGGTTGTCCAAATGATTGAGCGAAATAATTCTGCTGAGGTAGAGGCGCCGCAGCGGGTGTCCCGCTTGAAACCTCGGCACTCATCTGTGGAGGAAACGAGTTGAAAGTGTTAGAAGATGGATAGCCCGAAAATTGATGTTGAAACGGAGTCTGTGGATTTGCGATTGTAGTCGCACCAGCAGCCATGGTATGCATGGATGTAACTGAAGTGGTATTCCTTATCGATGACATTGACGCGGGCATCATGTGGGAAGCCTGGAAAGTCGAGAACAGAGTGGGCGAGACATCAAGAGTTGTCTGGGCAAGGGGCATAGAGTGGGGCTGGGAAGGAAGCGACGAGAAATCGGGGTTCTGCGACTGGTACTGCAAAGGAAGGGAAGATAATTGCGAAGGGCCCTGTAATGAAATTAAATCATCCCAAAGTTGGCTCCCAGAAAGCTTCTGGCTCGGAACAGAGGAACTGGGTGTAGGCAACGGGTGGGAGATGGATCTCGCGGGTTGCACGGGTGTAGATCTTGGGGATAATGCGCCAGGAAGGGTGACATTTTTGGCAGGAACTGGAGGAGGAGGAGGAGAGGTCTTGCGTTTAAATGGGGCAGGGTCCGTAGGAGTGGACTTTGGCCGTGTAGTCACAGCATTGGAATATGGACGAGCAGGTGAAACAAATTTGGAAGGTTTACAGTTCATGAACCACTTAAACTCGTACTTGGCTGCAATAACACATCAGACATATAAAGACAAATTTAAAGAAGGCTCGCGGACCTCGGATGAACTTCTCAATTTCGCTATCTCGTTCTGCCTCCATCATGTTGGTGGGTGGGGGGTGGCGAGCTTCGTCAGGGTTGTACATGGCGTTTGATCTGATATTTCCGTTTTGCTTCATGACCTGTGAACAGGAAGATAATTCATCCGAGCTTAAGATTTCTCATGCACCAGATACGAAGACGCCTACTTCGACTTGTTCCTTGGTCCATGCGTCCAGGGTAATGCTCTTTCTATGCAAAATTGCCAGTTAATAATTGCAAGCAGAATTATGTGTTTGTCTGACGCACACTTTCGTAATATGGGTACCAAGCTTGCGATGGACGCTCGCACAGTTGACGCTGCATCTGATGAACGTCTGCGAGTACACAACCGAATTGCATGTCGTACATACCATATAAAAATGCCCAAATTATGAGAAGCCCATCGCGGGTTCCGCGACTTACAATCTGCACAAATGTCTTGAATAGTAATGAGGTCATGTTCGAGTAATTTTTGACAAATAGCATTACCGTTCCCTGGCTGTATTACCAACTCCAGCAAAGTACGCTGGTTTCGCTCAGTTGTGATTTTAGAGATTCCCGAAGACATCATTTACAGTGATCATGAAAGGAGAAAGGCTGTCGTGTGCTGTCAACGTTACACGGTCCGAAAGTGTGTTATGTAATACTTCAGTCGGCGCTTCGAAAAGGGTCGGTGACCGGCGGCAAGACTCAGACATGATACATCTTGTGATCAACTCTTAATCGTCGATTTTCTCGGAGACCGATACACCTCAATAACAACTTGCTCCGTTCATTTTTTTCTGCCAATTTCATGTGAAACTCACAATGACACCCGTGCTTTTACAACGCTTACTTGCTCCACAGGGACGGAACTAATTTCTCAGAACAAAGCCCATCACGGTCTGATATCAATGAGAGTCAGACTAGCAGGGAAGAAACTGCATTGCGTAGTTTCTTCACCTTTCCATTCTCCTCGGACGAAGTTTATCAGGTAGGTGCTTGCTTGTTGAGATGCATACATCTTCTTAAAATTACTTGGCAAGCAAGGTCTAGCGGACCTACTTGCGCACGGTGCACTGAGTGGCAAGACAGATTCCGAAAGGGTCGAAATCATCCTTCGAACGCAGCTGTTTTACTTTAACAGAGTGGCCGGCCAAAATTTGACCGTAGAGGATGTTCGGTCCCATCAGAATACCGTGGACACCCAAAATCTGACTGTGACCATGGATTTATCACCTCCATCCTCGGACTCTGGAGACGGCGAAACTCGTATGCTGACGTTCGCCGAGTTGACGATGTTGATAGAACAGGGGAAGACAGATAACATACCAAATAACAAGGTCATCCCCGAGACGCTTAATGTAAGTTTGTCGCATGATTAGACATTAACATACATGGTCATCACACCCTTCCAGGACGCACCTCCCAGCACTTCCATAGCTTTGGTGCGAAAGAAACCCTGGGAAGTTGACAGTTAATCCTGACGTGAGCTTTTGGATTGTGCAAATGACGAAAGCTACGGTGGTAATGATTACTTTTACTAAATGATGTAGTGAGTGGTTATTTCTGCTCGCAGTAGATTGATGCTTTAACGAAGGCTTCAGCTTCCGTTGCCGACATGATTATGATTGATGTTCCTTCACTCGTTTGAACACAAAGTTGTAGAAGCAGTCATAAACCCACTATGTTTGTCTCGTCATCAAACCATTGGTATATATAGTGGTTTGTTCGGACTTGCAAGATATCATTACGTGTTTTCATGGGATCCAGGTTTGCACGGACGTGAGTATTTTCGGCAAGTGGGTGTCGTTATTTATTCTTCGGTGCCACAAATGTCGGTGCTTACTAAGTCACTATTTTTGTCAGGCAATTTGACAGCGTTTGCCAGCGCACTTCTGATTCGCACCGCTTGCAAAGATCCGATGAGTACAGTCATCAATATTCAATAACGCATTGCATATCCTACATAGCTTGCAGGCACGAAGCCAAATAACACGATGGTCGATGGTATACGCCTATACCAACGCTCCGTTGACGAACACGATAAGCTCTACTGGAATACTTGTGACAGGAGTGCAATCCGCTGCAATGATACAGTGTCCCAAAATACACTTATCATTCCACCCTCTATATGTGTTTTGCCCTGAATGTCCCCGATATAGTTATCCCTCTCCACCCTCATCCAGATATCTTGATGACGGCAAACGGGCTCTCCCTCGGTCACTAATGACCCGAGTTACTTCCCTCCTAGTTTTTCTGATATCCACTGCATTGACACGTGCTTGTCAATATGATATCCCTGTACTCTCCGAAGTGCAGCTATACCCTCCATGACCCAGTTGTGGCTGCTCCAGGAGGCATCTCCTTGAACAACAGGAATGGATGCGAGTGTGGAGTGGAGCAGATGTAGATTCTCGGAGTCCACCAATCCTATAGGTGCCCTCCCCAAATAACCATTCTCCCCATCTTTGAGTGTGACTGATTGCGGTGCTTCGAGGCTGTAGTCAACAGCCGAGCCAGCGATTTGATAGACCAATGAATGGGTAGATGGCGTGAATACGACAACGATTACCCATTTGGCTTTCGAGGATGATTGCCCAAAACGAGCGACAGCTACTTCGTAGAACGGGGGCATCGGGTGCAGGACGGGTACGGAAGTGGGTGAGCTGGCACCTTTTGAGTATAACAAACGGCTAGTGTCGGGGTCAGCGAGAACGACGAGTCTCTTTTCGAGTTACGGTGAATGGTGGGAGAGATATGCTGCATAGTGGCTGGAAGCTTTTATAATAATTCTCCGAATTAACGTGTTCTATTGACAATCAAACCCATTCAAGCAAGCAAGAATAAGATGTCTCAGCACTACATTTTGGTGGGGATGGAACATGAACTCACATCCAAGATTGGTTGCTTAATCTATCCCGAAAAAGTCTTATTGAAAGATTCCAGGGCGCGAACACAAGCTTAAGTGCGATGGCGCAGGAGTAACAACTTTACCAAACTATACCCTCAAGCGTCTTCGATCCGTCAGATTCATTTATGGATGGTCCGAATCGAATCAAAGTGAAGCGAAAGTGCGGGATGTGAGAATCGTGGTAAGGGCCCCTCTTCGATAAATGAAGGAAGCTGTTTGTCCGGTTCCAGCTCCCGGTGCTATATGCTTCGGTTCGTGAAATACAAGGCACGACCCACTACGCAAGTGCAATGCAGGGCACGACTAGGACTCACTCATGAGATTCCTTGCGATCGTGTGTGCGAAGGTAAACTCTCGCAAGGATGCTCTGTAGAAGGTCGAGCGTATAAATAGCCCTAGGGAGAGTCATGGATCTTTGGAGGTGGGCGTCAATCAGTTGGGCGTGAGGAAATTGCCCAAAAGACAGCTTACCGCAGTCAGAACAAACGTATTCTCCCATCAAGGCGAAAAGTGCCGCGTAGATTTCTTAATCGCGCATATAATCCTGCAATTTAGCCTCCTTGAAGAAAATCAGCTGCTGATCACGGTGTCAACGGAACCGGACCGACTAGAATTTGATACGGCCTACAGAGAATTCCAGTAAGACAGCCGCGAGGGTCAAGCACAAGCATCGGAGATGTCCATACACGCGGCTACCTGCTAAATAAGAAACTTGAACGCATTCTAGACCCGCTGGTGGCGTATCCAAATATCTTGGGGGAGTAAACGTGAATGTCAAACTGCGGATCTTGGCTTAGCACGCCGCTCCTCAAGGTCATGTTCGTGATTACATGTGACTCATGTTGAGATGAAGTCAAGTCACCTGATATCATAGAGTGTGATCACGTGAGATAGCGGAGTAGAAAGTTGGCAACGCGAACCCTAGTCTTAGCCATAGGTACCGGTAAGCCTTTCACCATGTATGCACTCTCTGATATTTAATATTTAATATTCAGGTGGCCCCGCTTATCAGTCTAATGATTATAGAGCATCCAACTGTGTTCGCATTCAATGAGGCTAAACGAGATCTCAAGGCCTCACCTCTTCTGCTAACGCAAGCGTGTCGGCATGCGCAACAGATCGTTCGTAATGTAATTGGCATATTGATACGCCGTGTTCACTCAGCCATCACGAGTCCAATTATAAACGCACCAATCCTGACGACTCGCTCAATGAACCACAGGCAAAAAAGGGATACATGTGCTAGTTCTTCCGAGGCGCTTCCAAAGCGTGAATCAGAATAAAGGACGAAAGGATTTAGGGAGTCTCATCTCTGACTCAAGATCACCGTAACTGTACACGTGCAGTTATAGTATCACTGGTCGCTAGAGTGGTTGACACTTTCATATAACATGAATGCCAACATCATCCTGTAAAATTACAGATCATAGTACGTTTGCAATAAATTCGCGGTGCAGAAAATAAAACAACGTACCGCGGAGCAAGATAAAAGTTGGCAGGGCCGAACCTTTTAGTAGTAGTATAATCAAGGTTATGTCCAACTAACTTATGTGAGCACCCGGTTTGTCTCACGGTCGCTCATCATCGCAGACGACTTTTGAGCGCTGGATTTTGTCCTCGACGTCCGTGAAGGTAGAAAAAAAATGGACACATAGTCCATCTAGACGCGCTCACGCTATATACAATGACCGATTCCGCCTCCCAGCTTGCAAGGTGCTGGCTGCTATCTTCAACTTCGTTGACCCCCAACTGATCCTCAACTTAGTGAGGCAAAATCAACCCACCAAAGTCTGAAAGAGCTTCTCAAAGCTCACCTTCCATGGGATAGAGAGGTTGAGTTTCAAAGGAAGAGGTACTCCCATCCCAAAATCCTTTTTTGACGGTGTCCCTAACAGTGTCCGTAGTCTCCGACGTCTGTATCTTCGCCTATTATTCGTCGAGCCATACACCAAGGAATCTAAAGATGCCGAAACTCATCTTTGGATGCAGACATCTTATCAATTTATTTCTAACTACAAACAGAACGTCGCAACTCTCGATCGAACGCTGCAATCTGCACCCCGCCATCAGCCCAGGCAGAGTAATCATGGCCCGGTGGAGTATCGCAAACTGATGCAACGATTCCGCCAGTTTCTTGCTGAAGAAGAGAAATTTTGGACACAACTGGTAGCTCGATACCAGCGATCCTTTGCACTTCACGAAGCACAGCATATACTTTCTACCTTAAACATTACGATTCCAGATGACCTTGGTACTCCCAATGGCTCCATTGGGGGACACGAAGGTGTCCCAAACTCTAGTTTTGGTCGCAACCAATTTCAATTTCCCATCGAAGGCAATACGCCTTCTCCTACGAGCTCTGCCGAACGTGAAATTAATCTCGCGATTCTGAGCAAGGCGATAGTATGCTTAGGTGACATGGCACGATATCGGGAGCTTTACAACGAAGGTGGAGGGCGTCCGCGAGCCGGTCAGGAAGACGGCTCAGGGCCAGCTAGGCGGGGCGGCCGCAACAGAAGAGGCGGCGCTATGAGCTATGATTCCATACCACGCGCCAGAAACTACGACAAAGCTGTTCAGTGCTACGATCAAGCGCGCCTTTTGGTCCCTTCGGAGGGCAATCCATCACATCAGCTGGCCATTCTCGCTTTCTATCAGAATGACATGTTCAGCTCGCTTCTCCATTACTATAGAGCGCTTTGCGTTCGTCAGCCTTATGACACTGCATCCGAGAATGTCAAGAAAATTCTCAATAAATCGCTCGATCAGCAAGCGAAGAGGACACGGGAAGGGGCACAAATGGCTCCCGATCTTGGTGATTTACCACCACGCTTGAGAGTCGAGTCCTTTAAGGAGAAAGTTGTGCTATTGCACGCACTATGGCGATTAGGTTCAGATAAGTGAGTGATTGGATTCGATCGATAATTTCAGTTGTCGAGATGAAATAATTCCGCTTAGATCAAGGTTAAATCCCATTGTGCATGCAGCAGATGTCGTCAAGGATTTCACGGCTCTTGTTTCAGAGCGCGTTCTTCCAATTGATGCCGTGACCAAGGTCATCGTTCTCTCAGAGGGAGCACTTTGGAAACATCGCATGATCCGGGACACATCTCCACCTTCGAATAGGAGATCCGGAGGGATTCCTGACCCAGCTACTGTCGAATCCCAGATTCTGAAGCATGTTCTTGGCATTCACCAGTCTCTCCTGGAGATCGGCGCTAAGGAACTTGGCTTTCCACCAGAAGATGCAGCTGAAAATGACCTTGCGCAGCGCATCACTGCGGCATTCAGGCGCACTCTACCCGCATTGCGTGTTGCGAGCAAGTGGTTGTTAGCAAATCTCAAGTATGTGGCGCATGCCACACCCCCTACGGGGTCAACCCAGGTCGAGGAAACTCCAGGGGTATTCGTCTCAAATATGCCAGTCTTTTGGCAGCATTTTTTGCTTTTTTACAACGCCCTATACAAGCTATTCCCAATAGAGAAGCTACCTTCGTTGCTCTCTCCGCTGGATGAGGACATCGACCTTAGGGGCTTTCTTCCACTGCGAAGCCTCATGATTGGCGATACTCCCAAGATTGTGGATGCTGATATGCACAAGGGGAATGGATCGGCCACCATTGGGCCGCAGGGCCGCGAGAGCGTTCACCCAAACGAAGAACAATTGATGAGGATATCTGATTTGCTCAAAGACCTCAAGAATCTCGCGGAATCACCAGTGAGGGCCGATTGCTTTGCCTTTGAATTAATCGTATTTACCTTACTATAGGATTCTCCAATCCACCTGCGTGGTGATAATTTCGTGCTTGAAATCACTGCCACTGCACCTGATGCTCAATCTCAGGCAAAGGCAATTGGTGCAGAGGCTGTAAAGATGCCTGTTACACCTATAGTCTTATGTCCTGATGTTCTTGACTTGATGCCACTGGAGACTTGTGCGGAGGACGATGCTATAACCGATACAGGGCATGCCGACAACGATGATCCGGTTGAAGACGCATTCAGAACTGTACTTAACGCCGAGTCACAAGATGAAGATGAAGAACTGGATGATGACGTCGTAGTTTGGGATCCAAGGTCAAATTTTGCTTGTTTCGTTTCAACGTGTCTAATGTGATATCTAGAGCCTCCACTTCGCCGCCGGGAGTAGTATCGGCCCTGCCAACGACACCTGTATTGTCGTCAAACATGATAAACAGCAACTTCATGAGCCCTAGTACATCCGTTGTGTCCTCAGGTCGTGCGGCCCCAACATCGCCGCCTTCTGCCTTCACAGGAACAACAGCCCAGGATATACTAAACAGTTTCTCCCAAGCTGGTGGTGATGTTGCACGATCTCCCCGCCGTCAGTCTATCGCACCTCCATCTCAATTTCTTTTCGGCTCTGGGCCCTCGAACGCTCCACTTTCTATATGGTCAAGGACTCTTGATCAGAACCCGCCAGATCTCAGTCCTAGACCCTTGTTGACCAACCAGGCACTGCCTGCTTACGGTGTTGAGCACAATTTATCGACGCCAAGCAACCGAGCTATACACTCCGCTAACCGACCTCCGCCCATGTCTCCTTTTGCACATTCACAGTCCCTGTGGTCATCTTCCTTTGAGTTTACGCACGATCCATCAAACATTCACACGAGTCACTCCGCCTCACGATCATCCGGTCCCGGGCATCGCCACTCAGCTAGTACAATTCAGAGCTCGCCTTCATATCAGACTGCATTAAATGCAGTGAATCATCAACCGTTTGCGTACCCACAGGAGTCACTCTACTTGAATGCGGAGATGGCTCCCGCTGCTCTTCCACCACAATCGGGGCTGCACTTTCAACAGGGTGGATTCAACCTCTCCCCTGCAGTGCCTTTGCCGCCGCCGCAGTATCCTCGGCCGATGCAGCATTACCCGACTTCGTCCATTTGGGGAAACACTGGGTGATGACCATCGCCAAGTTTTCGTCGCTTAACTGAGATGTTGCCACATACTCGCGGATACAGCAAATACAACATGCTTGTGCAGAGCCCGCTGTGGCCTGAAAATTCGTTATCGTCGGACACAAGCCGAATGGCGCGAGACGCCGTTCCAGATCGTAGTAGAGCTGCACCCCCTGATCAAGGCGTATTAGTGACTGGTGCTTAAGGGCCAAATACGTGGCCTTCCGAACAATCAGAAGTTTCCTCTATCTATTTCATGCCTATCAGACCTATTTTTTCTTCTCTCATAGCCGTGCCTCTCGTGTCGTGTTGTTTCGTTCTCAGATCTGTGTTATACTGCTTCAGGGTTTCTCTTGTAGCATGTCATGATTCGGTCTTTAAATAAAGCGTCAAGTTTTATATGATCAGACTTTGATCCTCTTCCGAGTTTTTGAGATGTAATTGATATTGTCGTCATGTATATGCATCCACTTGCTCGATCGTGCTATTACTTAGTGTCCATGTCGTCGCCATGGGGCCTGCTCTTATCTGCCTCTTTCGAAACCCCAATTCATGTTGACGCCCATAATCCAGGCTGCGGTGGGATAAGAGGGGGTACTGAGACTTGACTGGGAGTGCAACTATGCTAAAACGGTTAGATGATAACTTGCCCCTGTTACATAGTCCAAGCTACCGCCGTCTATAATAGAGAATGAAATCAAAAAGAGCAAATGAGATTCATCAACTAAGATTCCATTCGTAAATGTTCATGTCTCTGGATCTACGCAGGAAAATACGTCCTGAACAGTACAAGTCAGGAGAACAAAGGGTATTAAAGTACAAAAGATATTAGCACTGTATCCGTAAGAAGCTAAGCGGCTGAAACATCCTATGGATGATATATCCTTTCTGGGGCTGAATGAAATCTAGAGGCGTTCTCCACGGCCGATAACAGTCACCTGGACAGAACGCGTTGCATCAGTAAATGAACTATTATTCGGGCGGACACCCGATGCAACAACCCACCTTGAAGCCGATTGACCTAAGCTTGTCTGCATCCACAAGCAACCGCCCATCAAAGACAAATGCAGGCTTGTTCATACCCGCGTACACGGCTTGCCAATCAATCGTCTTGAATTCGGCCCACTCAGTGGCGATAATGACTGCCTCAGCATTCTTGCAGGCTTCCAATGCAGAAGAGCAGACAGAGACTTGACGTTGAACTTTGACAGCAGCATGAGTTGTCAATGTGTCATGCAAAAAATGTGGCTTACTCGTTTCAAGGGGCACATCAGGACTAGCCTCGTTGAGGTCTGCCCATATTTGGTTCGACTCAACTTGAGGATCATAGATGTTGACAAGAGCCCTTTCTTGCTGGAAGTCGCGGATAAGCGTGATGGCAGCTGACTCACGGGTGTCACCCGTATCAGCTTTGAACGCAAAGCCAAGAACCGCAATGCGCTAAAACAGATCAAAATCGATTTGACAGATGCGCAGAAAAATCGCGTACCTTGCCAGTGATAGTGTTGAACAGGGTATCCACAACCCGCTTACTAAACCTCCTCTTCTGGTATTCATTCATCGTTACCACCTGTTTCCAGTACTCAGCTACTTCTTTTAAATTGAGGCTCTCTGATAGGTAGACAAGGTTGAGAATATCCTTCTGGAAGCAGCTACCTCCGAAACCAACGGATGCACGAAGGAATTTCGGGCCAATGCGTGAGTCTTGTCCGATGGAGTGAGCGACCTCGGCGATGTTGGCGCCTGTGGCTTCACAGATGGCGGAAAGTGCGTTGACGGAGCTGATGCGCTGCGCAAGCATGGCGTTCGCAGCCAGCTTCGAGAGCTCAGAAGACCACAGGCCGACAGTCAGAATCCTTTCTTTGCTATGTGGTCGGTCAGCACATCATTAGGCTCCGCAATACAATGAAGGAACTCACGGGACCCAATTCTGATAAACTTCGGAGAGCGCCGCGCAGGCCTCCTTACCCTCCTGTGTCTGCAAAGAGCCAATCAGCACGCGATCAGGAGCAAAGAGATCGTCGATGGCGGTTCCTTCAGCGAGGAACTCAGGGTTTGAGAGGATATCGAAGCGTGCGTTGGGCTTGCTGTTGGCGTCGAGGATGGTGCGCATGGACTCCGCGGTCCTGCAAGGTACGGTAGATTTTTCGACGACGATCTTTGATGATGTCGCCGTAGCTGCGATGCGCCGAGTAGCGAGCTCGACGTAGCTGAATCAAGATCGTCAGCACACGATCATATAATGGGAGGGCCGATGCAACAAAAAATGAAAAAAAAAATCACTTCAAGTCTGCAGCGAAGCCAGCACCGACACCGCTTTTTTTGGTCGGAGTGTTCACAGATACGAAAATGAGGTCTGCGTCCCGAATGCCTTTATCAACATCGGTGCTGAAGAAGAGGTTGCGTCCGCGAGCCTGGCGAACGACATCCTCCAGACCAGGCTCATATATGGGCAGGTTGAAGTCTGGCGAGTTCCAGGCATCGATGCGGGCTTGGTTCAAGTCAACGATGGTGACCCGGATATGAGGGCATTTCAGTGCGATCACGGCGCAAGTAGGACCGCCTGCAAAGCAGATGTAAACTCGAGGTATTCAAAGCGATTAGCGATGCTGTAAAGCCGTGGCTCACCGACGTATCCAGCACCGACTGGACGTGATAAATGAGCAATCAGATAATAGGAGATATCGCCGAAGGACTCACTGCAGCAAATTTGTTGGACTCTAGGCATTGTGGTTATAGATCGAGAGAAAGACTATGCTGAATTGATGGGTCGCGGTTCGCTTAAGTAGGCTGTTGACCTTGAGGGAGTGGAGTTACGGGGAAGCGATTTTGAACGTTACTGTGGTCGACCAGGTACCACCACCTGCCTTGCCTCATGACACGACTCGTTTCACTCTTTTATCAATTAAAAACACCCCTCAAATCTGTAATCATTCAGCTGCTTTTTGTACGTCCACTCGACAATCAGGCAAGTTTAATGGCCATTTGACGACACATGATAAAAAACGTGGCTAAGGAAGCACACCCGGAGTAGAAGGCCGAGCGCCAAGTGCGCACCAGGCCTCGCAAGTTGCCACAATAATATCCTCAAGCTTCCGCCTGCAGTCGATAACGTAGTCGCCCCTAGCCTGAGTAGGCAAAGATTCAAGAAGAACCGTTGCTTCTGTATTAGGGCAACACCCTGGGCAATGGGCATTAAACGGTGCGTGTCTTCACTTTATGTCACCTTAACCAACGTGCTACTAGTTATCGTCTATTAGTGTGGACGCGAGGCATATCTCCTTTCACGCATATCAATTACGACTTCCATCCTACGAGAAGACGAGACCGAATCTTCCAGATAGCGTGGAGATAAGCCTCTGATCTACCAGATACCACTTGCAGATTCCCGGGAATGATGGTAACCCGAGATGCGCATGGAACACGGGCGTGAAGTGTGCCTAAGTTGTCTCTTATATGGCAAAATGTGAATAGAAAGCCTGCTTGCCGAGGCAGGCTATAGCACCGGGGACGTTAGATAGGCCAGGCTGCTAGTGTGCAGTCGGCTTGGGGTCATTATGCAGTTCCCAGAGCGCCTTTTGATACTGGAGTGGTGTATCCGTGACTGTGTGCTTGCGTGTCGTGAACAAGGGAAGTGCTCAAGCACTGGGGTACTAGCTGACTAATAACCTACGCGAGGTTCTAAAATTTTAATGCCAACGCAGCCTTTGCGATGAACAGCTTGCGACTCTATTCAAGGGGTATCACCCATTCCCAAATTGACTGTCATTTAGTACACTGCGAGACTATTACAGATAGAATCCAGTGTGTTTTGCGGTGCGGGCCGGTCAAATCATAGAAGTGCACAGTCGCGAAAAAGCGGACCAGTCACCATTCATGCGGTGTAGCCTTGTTCATGAGCGAACGGAGGTCGAGAGCGGCTTGTTGCAGAGTATATCCCTTCAAAGGTCCAGAGGTGGCTGCTACGGAGTGCTATAGCGCTCTGTAGTGAATTATGTTTCCCTGATGCGGCACTGGCCATAAGACCAAAGTTCGACACGGAAGCACACCGCGGCAGTGAGTTGCATATACTGCCAGTGCTAGAGGGTAAGGCCCGGGTTGCTAGAATTCATCCACCACTATTGTCTCGTTACTGGCGCTCGCCGCTAATTCATCCCAGTAAACATTTTCCGCATCGCAAAGAGTGGACTCAGACGCGGAGAGATAGCAAATTGCCACAGCGCATACTACTGACGGGAAGCGGTGGAATGCAGGTGAAGCGCGCACATGTCACCCGTTTCGTCCTTGCATATGGACAAATAAAATGTATCACATGGTGTAGTTACAGATACATAGTATGATAGAGATTTAATACTGTGACGCAGCCATCGTAGGTCAGAGAAATTGATGCATGATGCATGAAATAACAGGCAATCACAACCTGATCGGCCTGACCAAGAGGTAAATATATATATTTACTCGCGGTATATCACACGAATGAACAACGGTCCTCCGCCGCAGATCGGCGGGAAAAGGAATCTTCGTCACTAAAAGGTAATTCATAGGTCAAGATTAATACGAAGGACTAGCAAACCCTGACGTACTTCATCGTACACGATATCTTCTTTTCCGTCTTCATCAAGAGGGTCCCATGGTGTGGGACATTTAATCCACCTGAACAGCTATCAGAATAGCTAATGGATGTTTAGGCGGGATGAATAACGTACAGATTATCTTCTGTCGACTGTACCTCTGCCCCACGGAACTTTCGCTTGAACCAATGTTGCCTGCGCTTGAGGTCAAAGAGAGGCGTGTAACGGTACTGTCCAGCTTTGTCAAACGCCTTTCGGAGAAACGCTGCTTGAGCGTCCGTCCACCAATCGATTGAAGCTTCTCTGCCAGCAGATACGTCTATTGGAGTTGTAAGCGATGTATTAGCAGTAAGCGCCAGTGTCACCCTCTCTGCGGCTACATCAGGCCTTCAGCATCCTGCCACCAATGAAGCCTAAGGTAAGACGCACACCTGTTGGACAAGTATAGATAATACCCTGGACACGTAAATATACTGCTGACGATATATTTATCCTTCAACTGGTGCGCCTCGTGGATGATGCTCAGAACCCTGCCCTGAGGAATATATTCTTGCTGCGGCTTGTGCATTACCAAGACAGCACCTCGTTTGCCCTCCTGGAACTGGAACTCGGCCTTGAAGGAGGTGGAAGCCAAGTCGAGAGCGGAGCTGTTCGATTGTAATGTGTGAATGATTGGCACCAACAAGGAGTGCATGCACTCTCACACTTTTGGCGTGATCGAAATCTCACTCTTTTTGACGTCCATCGAGGACATAATCATGTCTTCCTCGACTGCACCCATTATCGGCTGGCACGATGGATGAGACAAATCAATCATCAAGCCTTGCTGCTTCAATGATTCTTGAAATGATTCGTCGTATATATTCCCGTCCGCTATAAACACTCCAGTTTGTCTATCAATCTTCCCCGAAGCTTCCGACCTACAGGCACTTGACGTTTAACACCAGGCAAACTCGGGATAGCGCTCACTAAAGCACCTTGATCGGGATCGGCGGGTCCCAATTAGCCCACTTAGATGACGTCTGGAAAATGAGATCAATGAACTTGCGAGAGGCGGAGTCTGGAATTGCAGCTGACGGGGGAGGTGTGTTGGGAATGGGATGTAGAGGTATTACTATGGTTTGCGCCTTGGATGATCCTAAAGCAGAGCCATTTATACTATGGCCCCGGTGCTGAGCGCCAATTCTACCACAAAGCACTGAATATCACCCTTTGTTGTCAGCCCTGCAGTAGGTCCAAGGCCTTTGTCGTTCATCGCGGCGAACTAGTTCAAGATGTCGATGATGGGCCGGACCGGACCTTGTGCATCCATTAAATTAGGCATTCCTAATTAAAATTTACCATAAATAAATCCAATTTGAAATTTCAGTGTCGTCAAATTTACCGACTACTAGCTATCAACGCGACTTGCCTCATCCTGGTCACCAATCTAGAGTATGTTATAGAGCTACTGCTAAGTAGGTTCTCCGAATTAACAAGGTCTTATGCATCCACAAAGTTTGGCGTTATCAGTATCACACTCAGCTTACTGCTTCATCAACGCTTCCTCGGGCACTAGTCTTCGCAGTGACTGTCGGCCTATCAGATAACCACTGCAGGCCTTCCATGTTTCATTTCAAGAATTTTCATGGTTCCGGCGGTCTTCTTCGTCGGCGAACAGTCTTTAACATTGTAGTCCGATTCCTCCGGTCAAGACACACTGACAACGTCAGATGGTCTAGCTTTGAGGCGACGGCGCGTGGTGACTACTAGAAATGAGGTGCTCGTTGGTGCTAGCAGCTAAACATGATTAACTTGGGCTGTGTTGAAAGACACATAGTATGGGTTCAAAATCGTTTTAACCATAATCAGCATCTCCTTCATCGTGCTCTTCGTGGCCCCAGTGAGATGGAAGCCCAGCATATAGCTCCCAACCACCCTGGTGGTTCTTAGTATCTAGGCCCTACTGATAGTTTCCTGCAGAACGACTGAGCTGACTTCTCGAACAGGCGCCGACAAAGGAGCCAAAGACGGTCAGCCATTCTAGATCAACATCAGTGTAGATCATATCTGTGCTTCTTCTGGTCTACCTCAAATTTGCGGCCAGACTGCCCAGACTGTCCAGGTCAGCGCTGTTAGCTTCAGCCTTGCGCAGGCTCGATTATGTTGTAAGTTCAGCTTCCTTAATCATTTTCATTGGAGCGCTCGTTAATGAAGAGGGTCGGGTAGGAGATGGCATCCATGCAGAATTCTTCTAGCCTTCAGTAGCTGACCCTTTCATGTGAATTCCTCCCTCTCCGAAAATCCCACACTGCCTCCCGTCCCCACAGGTATGGCAGTAATAAAATAGCGCAAATTCGCACTGCACCCTGCTGAACTTTTTGTTCTGCTCTCCACTGACTTTGTCCAATTCAATAGCAGCCCCACCACGCTCTATTCCTGTCTATCGCTCTCACAATTCTCGAGATACCTTTGAAGTTTTGTTGTGTTCTACCGCAGCCCGTCGTTGAACCATGATCTCTATGGCACCCGCCCCTTCGGTCAAAGGCAAATAGCGGGAACGGATATCCTTCTCTTACGTGGCACGCTGCTGGCTCTAATCAGAGCTTGTCATTCGATGAAGTTATGTCCTCCGTGGTGGCCGGACAAGGTATATTAAGTGCATGTGCACCGCTCTATCTGGAGATGAAGCCATGTAAGTGTGTACCTGGAGCCTTGTGGCGCAACATGTGGGTAAATTTCGGTTGACATCTCAAGCAATTACGACTTCTGCCATTAGGGATAAACCTGTTATGCTGCTTGATATCACGGTGAACAATATCTATACCGTCGTCGGTCATGAGCAAACTCCCGATGAAGTCAACCTTGCAGCTGGTCTGCACTTCTCAAGGTTCAGCAGAGTTACTGGCACCCCGCGGGCGGTCGATGACGATCTTATACACAATGTTGTAACACCCCTTATGAGGACTTGTCGGAACATCAACGATGTGCCTCTGTTTTGGTGTCTGATCTCAATTAGTAAATATTCTTTTCGTCTAGTAATACGGTCTTGCATACGACTCAGCGTCCCTAAATTCTCATGAAATTATTATTTTCCCTTCGAGCCTTTTGATTTATCCTACCTTATTGTCTTGTTGTCTATGTACTCGGCGATACAGTAATCTGGTTCTCTCGAGCAATCGGAAAATTCCACCTCGGATTCCCGTGTTAAGAAAGCATGTGGTGCTGTGAATCTCCACTCAAAGTACTACCACTGCATGGTCTTCCGCGAACCTCCTGCAGTCCTTAACCTTGCTTCCGCTTCACACGCTCGCTCATAACGGCGGCAACTAATTCCCCTAGATTACATTTGGCACAACGTTCTTCCAGCAAGATGCAAAGGCAACCGCCGTCATCAAACTAAGACCCTACGGCACGTCGCACTCCGCTCTCTTCGTCAACTCTAGCCAAGAACGCGCTGCTGGGGAGGAGCTGGGCCTGAATTATATCAGCCGCCGTTAGCCGTCACGTGGGCTGGCTTTTGGGCCTCCGGAGAGAAGCTGGCAACATCCATTGGGGCGTCCAATTTCGAATTGGCCCAGGGTACTGGGTTTCCGCTTTCTGCCATTCAGGCGAACAGAATGCGATAAACATGTTAGTGTCAGTATTGCTGATAATCGATAACCCCCCAGAAGCGTGGTCAATATAGTAGTAAGTACTTCTACAGGCTATGAATGAAAAGTAGGCAAATAGTGAAACACAACCGTAATTCTACAGCATCGAACCATTGTACATTTTCCCAGCCTATCTAAGCATGAGATTGTCCAGTCCTCGCATTAGCATAGTTCTGAAGGAACCATGTCACCGTCTCCTCAAGGGCTGTGAACATAGTCAATGATCAGGAACTGAAATGACTGAACGAGGACAACAAACCTTGTTCGAATGGCGTGAATTTGAAGTCGCCAATCAGGCTCATGAGCTTTGCATTCGACGCGGGTTTGCGGTCTTGGCCGTTGTCATTAATTTCGTTCTCGAACTTCATAACAAGAACATCTGTGCTCAGGACTTCGTGAACAGTAGAAAGAAACATACCTCGGGCTTGTCAGGGTGATTCATGACTTTGACGATGGAATTCGCAAGATCACGAATGCTGATTTCGTCATTCTCGTCCACTGAGAGCTGATCAGTAAACTTCACATCAGTAGATATACGAACGCTTACCTGAAAGGATGACAGGTTCGACGGATTCGTACTCGCGCATTTGCCATATGAATAGCTTGGCCAGGTCACGGGAGTAAATGAATTGACGAAGGGGCGAACCGTCACCCATCACTTTAAATGGCGTGTTTTTCTCTGCATTAAAAGCGTGTCAATGTGCAGAAGGTTTGAAACGAGGGAAACCGGACTTTGTGATAGGTAGCATTTGTGGATTAGCGCGGGCATCACATGCGCATGCTTCAGATCACTTTGAAAGGATCAGTCAGGGCATGATGACTTTTACAATGGTCGAACGTACAAGTTATCATGCGGTCCAAACACATTGGTCGGAATGGCAGATGTGAAGTTGCAGCCGAATTCTTCCTTGTAAGCACTACGCAGTAGATATGAGCCGTAGTACAAAATGCCCTAATAAAATCATGACATACTGGTTCTGGACATCTACCATTCTCTTCGCATGCGCATATCCGAAGTTACTCGAATGCGGTGGACCAAGGTGAACCTTCTCTTCTGTGAGTGGGTATTCGACTTTGTCCGGGAAGACACACGTCGAAAGACAAGAGATGACTTTCTTTGTCTCTTTGATGTGAGCAGCGTGGAGGACATTGTCATTGATCAGCATGTTATCGCGGAGGAAAGTCATCTGCAAGGGGTCAGATCGCCCACAGCAAAAGATATTTGTGCTAACCTTTCGCTCTCTGTTCGCGAAGAGACCGCCCACTATAGAAATGCAGATCAGATGGGCTCATCCTGACCCGAACTAAGACGTACCAAGGGCAGCCAGATGGATGACATGAGTGGGTTGGTACTTCTCAAATAACTTCAGAGTTTCTTCTGGGTTTCTGCACTACGCATTGATGCTTGCTATCTGGACAATAATCATACGACAACACCTTAGATCGGCCTCGCGAGAGCCAGCAAAGATCCATTTCTCTCCTGGACGCTTTCCGAAGCGCGAGCCTTCTGGTTCGTGTTCGATAACGTACTCGATGGCTTTCCCGACAAGTCCAGTGCCTCCAGTGACAAGTACCACGGCTGCCATCGTTGTTGACTTGAGAAGAAGTTCAAATAACTACGCCCTGCTATAAGAGGAGTAGTAGTGTTTTTATGTCACAGAGACTGATCAGGTCAAGATCACTGGACTGGATTCCCACAATAACTATCTTGTACCCACACCATTGCTGTATGAACCGTATTTACTTGCAACATCTTCTCTAGATTCTCCACGTTGGACCGTCGTCGGGTTTCCCCCTTTGCATCCTCAAAATTATTACTCGGAGCGATATGGACTACCAGAAGATAGCGAGCGACGTTTACAATCTTGCAGAGTCAGATGAACCCATAGCACCCATTGTAAGAGAGGCATTGCAGGTCATTGAGCAGTGTCTGGGTCAATACGGGTGAGCAGCAGTTTTTCTTTGCTCATGCATGATTCATCACTGATATTTTACTTCATAGGCAAGACCACGTATCTCTGAGTTTCAACGGCGGGAAGGATTGTGCGTCAGCAGGACCCCTGAGATGTACATATACTGATTCATTTGTCCCGTAGGCACCGTCCTACTTCACTTGTATGCTGCAGTTCTCGCCAGAAAGGTGTCATCC